GGACAAGACAAACCCTACCTAGGAAAAGGTGTCAGATGTTACTGAAATAAACCTGAGCAGGTGAAAAGAACTTTCTTGTTCATACATTGCAAACTTCATTTGGCTGGTGGCCAGGAGAGAAAACTTCTCATCCTCCTACAGTGAAAGTGTGAAAACTTACTGCAGGGAGAGTTGCATCATAAGCACCTTCAACGCCTAACACGGGGACAAGACAAACCCTACCTAAGAAAAGGGGTTAGATGTTACCGAAATAAAACTCACTTTGGTATAATTTACATTTCTAGCCACAGAAATGGATACATGCAAGAGGTGAAGAAGGCCAGGAACACTGTTGGAAGGAGAAGTTACGAAGTTCTCTGTGGATCATGCCCACAAAGACGAGCAGGACGGCATCGACTACAGCACATCTAGCCACAGAAATGGATACATGCAAGAGGCGAAGGTGGCCAGGAACACTGTTGTGGAGCGAAAAAAGATTAAATGCTTCAGATGTCCAAGTAATTCCATTATACTCTTCTCCAACTGTCTCCCTACCCAATTTCTGGAAACTCTCAGAAGCTACTGGAGCTCTTTATAAATTTCTACATCGCACACTTCATCGCTAAAACAGAATTAGCACATGGAAAAGCAGAGAGGGTTATCTGCCTCACGTCAGTGTTGTAGCACACACATACCAGACCGGTGGCTGGAAGGAGAAGTTATGAAGTTCTCTGTGGATCATGCCCACAAAGACGAGCAGGACAGCATCAACTACAGCATGGAGAAAAGACACACAATCCAAATGCTGTAGAGCCTCCTCAATGGCTTTGGCTCAGAGCATACTTTCAGATCTAAGGAATTCCACTTAATACCATAAACATCCTTTACGGACACTCTAAGATGCTTCGTTGTTGATTTTCAGCCTGGTGTTTAGTGGCATTGGGTCAGAACCTCCATATTAACAAAAAAAAGGAACTCTACACCCTCTCTGATCCCTGCTGCAAGGGCATCTCAGATGCAGAATTAAAGACTAGTGCAGCTTTTATGTTTTTAAAGAAATGGCAAATCCTTATGAGAATAAGTTTCAAATACCTGAATAGAATTTCTTTTTCCTACTTCCCCACTTTTTTTTTTTTTCCAGAGGAGCTGAAAGGACCATGAAAGGTGCAGAGCTGGCAGACGCTGGCAAATATCATATTCGGGGGGAAATTTTAAAAGCCTGAATAAATGTAACACTTTAACTCTTTTGTACTCATTCCTAAGCAAGCTGTGTGCACACTGTGAATGGAGCAGTGGCACAACTAACTGCTCCAATATTGCTAAAGGGCTTTACCAAACAGCAGGTGGGCTAAAATTGCCTAAAAGTAAAGGGGATAGAAGAACAGCCACTCTAATCAGTATCACCCACACTCACGGCTCCTTAATGGAATCATTAGGAAGTTGGTTTTGTAACCTAAAGGACATCTCACCTGTACACAGACCTGCGAGACCACACCTGACAGACAGACCTGGGATACTGGTCCTGTCAGCAGCAGCACATCTAATTACACAGTTTAGTTGTACACTCTTTTTTAATTTAGTTTTTTCTAGACCCAAGTAAGTGTTTTTAGAATTCGGCGTGCTGCAGCCACAGATGTCTTGGCAGAAAATAACAAAAAAAGTTCTTTCCTAGTTTTACCAATGGCGTACTAGGGGCTCAGCAAGTCCTTCTGTACCAGCTCAGTTCTTCTTATAACAATCCAAGCAGATTGGATGTAGGCAACTCAGAAATTCTTTGGGAAACACAAAGAGTATTGTCAGCATGTGTATTCCATATATACCTCCAAAAAAGCCCTCATTGTGGTTACACAGAAAAATTCTTCTAATTATGCTAAATTTTCACTATAATTTTCATATGTCTGAACTTCTAACCACGTCAGAGTTGCCTGCTCTCTCATTGCTAACCCCAACGAGAAGAAAAATCTTATTTCTTTTTGGTTCACATTAAATGCACCAGCAGATATTTTTGCCAGGACTCCAAGACTGGGCAGTTCAGGTTTCACCCTTATCATACCCCACAAAAATGCTGCTTGTTTCAAGATCAAGCGTTTTAAACAAAACCCACATCATCCCAGATGGATGTCACCCGGCCCCATTCCAAGATTTTACAGTCACAGAAGCACAAAGATGTGCAGAAGGAGGTGGACACGCAGAAGAAAAGGAGGCAGAGTGGGGTACGGGGATGGGCAACTCAGCTCTTTCACAGATACCCAAAGGCCCACCAAGTCTGGTTCTTGCTGAAAGAAACCCCCTTTTGGCACAGGCTGAACGAGATTTACAAATAAAGAGAGCTTCCAAGAGACCATCACAGAGGAGAAGCATCCAGAGTAAAGGCTTGGGAGCTCATCTGCCCTTCAACGCACGGAGCACAACGTGGGAACGGAGCAGAATGTAATTAAGACAATTAAATTCAGTTGTCAACACCGTAAGGTTCAGACCAATCCAAAAATCAGAAGGCAAGATTTAAATCAAACAGCTCTTCTCAGATTAAGGGAAAAAGTGAATAAGCAAGAAACTAGTTTTCCAGTTCTTAATGCAACACAGCCCAGGGTTTGGAACCTCCGTCAGACGCTCAAACCTTTCCAAGCAATTACATCTTCCCTCGTTTATTCTGGGCCATCTGGAGTGAGTCCTACATCTGCACGTCGATGACACACAAGGGATACTCGAGTCACTCACACAGCCTGGGGATTTCTGTTACCCAGAGAAGCTGTGGCTGCCCCATCCCTGGAGGGGTTCAAGGCCAGGCTGGATGGGGCTTGGAGCAACCTGGTCTGGTGGGAGGTGTCCCTGCCCAGGGCAGGGGGTTGGAACTGGATGGTCTTTAAGGTCCCTTCCAACCCAAACCATTCTATGATTTTCTGCTATGCAAAGCTTTCCATCTTCACAGTTTTATTGTGTCCAGACAACTAGACACTAAAGTTGGACCTCCCTGATGCACCATCTCAGGTAAACGAGTTACATGCTATGGGACCAGCCACACGTGTGAGAAAAATATTTAAATTAAATGCAAGAATTTAGTCAGTGCAGCTGACAGGACAGATGGCATAAAAACAGACAGGGACACAGAAGTGGTTGTGTCGTGGTGTGACACGGCACAGCCACCAACCACCACTCCATCCCACAGCAGCCACAGGAGAAAGAAATAAATCCCATGGGAAAGAAGCAGAGACTGAGCTGCAGGACCTGGTCTGGTGACACAGACCTGTGTGATCAGACTGTTGAGAGGAACTGAGCCAATTAAACCAAAATCCAAGCATTTTCAAGAGTAATGCATTACAGAGATGCCACGGTAACATGGAGGGCAAAGCTCATCTGGCAGGTAAATACTGACTTTGGCTCTCAATGTGAGTGAGCATCACTTACACAGTGCCACAGCAAGAATGAAGGATCCTTTCAATTATCCTAAAAAGGACTAAGAAAGAAGTGGAAATATCTGCAGGGATCTTGAACCACCACCACCACCTCCATTCTAAATAAAGGTTGAGTTTATCTTGTCATCTCCCCTTCGATCACAGTACTCTGTCCCCTTTCTGTTTGCCTTGGTTTATGAAACTCATAGAAACTTAATTATTTTGGAGGAATTCCCTCCCCTCACTCCAATTGCCAAAAATGACTGCAGTCTGCCAACAGATTCAAAAATAAGGAGGGGAGGAGACACACCTGCAGGGAGATTACCCCAGACACCTCTCCTGTGGAAACCAGGCTAAACCCCACAGTACTGCATTTATTACAACAGTAATAATTTTAGTACTGCATTTATTACAACAGCCCTCCAAAGTCAGATTTGTGACTGCTGTACTTCTGTTACGGGCACCACAGCAGATTTTTAAAACAATTTTTTATTTATTACAACAGCCCTCCAAAGTCAGATTGTGACTGCTCTACTTCTGTTACTGGCACCACAGCAGATTTTTAAAACCATTTTTGGAGGATTATTTTCAGTTTCTACAAATCCAATTGATTCCACCCCTTCCACCCCCAGGCAAGTCATTTGTGAACACTCTTTCCACCTGTAAAACGGGGACCATAAGTCCTGACCTGCCTCAAACCTGGCCTGTGTGCAAACACAACCAGCAGCTTGAAGATCTTATAAAAACACTGCTCTAAATAAAAAAAAAACACTATCATAAATATTGCTGTAAAATTAGTGCGTATACACTTTACTCTCTTTGAATGGCCACAACCTCTTAAAAACAGAAGCACAGCAGAAGCCTAATGCTCATTTATATTTAGGTGTGACTGAGCAGAAATCATTCATTTAGCAAATCTTTTGCCAAGAAATAACAGGCTGGAAAAGCATTGCAGACCCTCTTGTCCCCTCCCACCTCAAATATACATGAGAGGAATGATTTTTGAGCACAAAAGTGTCCTTACCTGCTCCATGACACCCAGGCTGCAGTATGAGGGGACTCTGCCTGCTTTCCCCACCCCTTCCTTCCCCTGCCCCAGCCTGACATAATTAACTTCAGCTGGGTTAAAAACCACCCCTGGATGTGCTTCCAGAGTCGTCAGCCCAATGACCATCAGCTGCCAAACCAGCCCCAATAAGGGACCCGGCCAGCACTGTCTTCTCAATTCAAAAAGGTTTTTATCAGCTTACCTGAATGCTTTTTGGATTTCCCCCTTGTGACCTAATTTAATTCTTTAATTACGAGGAATTAAGAGCCAGTATTTTCAATAAATGCTGAGGGGGTTGCTGTTCCCTCGCATGTACCCATCACCTACGGTGCGCTGTGCCTGTGGCAAACTGTTAAACTTCCCTTTTCCAGCAGGAATTCAGGTTGCAAGACTCTTTCTAGCTCACCATGGAATTTTTCAACGTCTCTTTCCATACACAAAACTACAAACTACCTGAAAAGATATAAAGTGTGAAATTAAAAAAAAAGTAACCACCCCTTATTGCTAACTGTATATTTGTATACTTGTTTTACCTGTATCTGCTTTATGTACAAATATAATAATTCAAGTGAGCAAACAAGTCAGAAAAAAACCAACATTTAATTATAAAAGAGCTTTTTAAATTAAAAAAGATAATGGCACTAAACCAGAAACAAAGTTATTTAAGAGATCATAGCCATGGGGCAATTGTAATTTTACACTGAAACTGTACAGCTGTTCCTATCATCTGCACTTTGCTCCTGATTAAAATAACATCTAGAGTTCCAGTAACAAGGAAATCTTTTACAGAACTATAACGCATTATGAAAACACACATCGTTTTTGTATTACATGACAAAAAAAACCCAAAAAACCCCTTACATTTATTACATTAGATTCATAAATATTTACCTAAGCGTTGTACTGGTTTTCTACTCTACTCCTTCTATTTAAAGAAGAGAAAATGTGGTTTGTTCTCTGGAGAGAAGTGATTTGTCTCCCCGGGTTTGCCCACAGCACCCGACCCACGGAGCATCAAGGGCTGTACAGTCACATTGCAACAATTTCCTACATTATTTCTCCTGCTTTTAAGCATCCTTCAGTGCTTCCTTTCCATTCCAACACAGCCTTCCACTCTAAAAAACAAAAAATAGACACGCCCCCCCCCCCCCAAAATTGTTCGTATGCTGTGGATAAGTAATCTGTAGATGTGTAATTTTTCTATGACCTTTCAGAGTTCTGTTCCATTGCTTATCTAGGAAATGGAGAGTCACAGTGGTTACTTTGGGAAAAAAACCCACAGTCAGGGCCTGTATCCAAAGCTCTGCAGAAAGGCCCTTTATTCCTTCAATCGGCTTTGATCAAGTAAAAAAAAAAAATAATTAATTCAGACCTTGATTGTACGTAGAATATTCCCTATAAGGTCAATTTAATTTTGTGTATGCATTGAAAGAGAATGTGTCGTTGCGAGGATGTAATTTCACAGTAGTTGCTGCAGGCAGGGTGCAGGTGGGAGCACTTGGGCACGGCTGAGCTGGTTTACAAAGAAATTTTGTAAATATGGTACCCGAGTTTGTGAGCCCCAAGCGTTGGGGTGGGACTGGGGCTCTGGAGCTACAGAGTCCACAGCTCTTCGTGCTGCCACGAGCCACGTCCATCTATAATTCACCATCAGTGAATTGCACTATTAATTTTTGAAGTGGTTTAGACAGCATCTATCAGCACAAGGGAAATCAGAACTTGACTCCAAGCCTCGTCCAGGACAGACCACACATAGAGCTGGTGGCACACAATACCCAAAAAGCCCATGTGAACCCCACAGTAGAGCCTTACACCCCTCTTGAGTGAAAGGCTTGGTGGTTTGCTCCCTATGAAATTTAGACTACGTTTTCCCTCCACAGTCATTTTATTCTTCCTGAACATTTTTATTGTGCTAGTAATTGGCAGGTTTTGGCAGCTGACAAAACATCATCTATCAGAAGTCCAAAAAACCTGAACCCAGTGTATTTAACATGACTGCGAGTCATTGCTGAAAAAACTAAAAGTCTTCCCCCTGCATGACAATATTACCAAAAGGACACTGCCAAGAGTGGTGAGCTTCAAAAATGACTCACCTTGTCACATGGTCCTTTCTTTTTTCTTCTTTTTTTTTTTTTTTTAAATAAAATCAAGAATACAATCTACTGGAATAAGAATAAAAAATATTTAAAAGACCTAGCAAAAAAGCTGCATAGAAAGCATTTTCACAGTTGTTTCAAAATAGTTGTCATCAAACTTTACCTAGAAAGTGAAAAAAATTAGGATTTCTGACGACAAAACATACTGCATTGCAGTTTTTTTCCTGGGAAATTCATGACTGTGGTTAAGTATTTTTAATACTGTACCATTCAGAAGTGCTGATCAGGATTGGGCTCTCCAGCAGACTAGCACTGTGAAGTCCCGTACGAACACACAATTCCACACAAACAGACTGTAGATCTCTAACAGAAAGAGGTTAAACATCTGTTTGAAAAATAAATTCTTCTGAAACGAGCCCTACCAGATGGGAGGTAGATTAGTGCCATTAAAATATTTAAGGTACTTTTTCTCATTTCAAATACGAGTGGGAAAACTGTGCTGTCTCCAAAATGTTGCTGCGAGTAAAACCGAAAATTTACTGATTATCACTGTTGGGTTTCCACCACTTCTTTATAACTGGATACGGTTCTATTAATATATATAATGCAGCTGAATGTTGAAAGGACACTCCATCCTTTTGAAACGTTCAACCTTACAAAATAAGTCCACAGGTTGTTATTTCGCCACGAGTTTTGAGCTTAGCTCTGCTTCGGTTTGATAACCCACTCAGCGTTGGGGTTGAGCTGGTACAGGTCCTTCATGTAGGTGTCACCATCAAGGCAGCGTTCACCTAGGAACAGAAGAGATATGATTTTCAACATTCCTGTCATTGTTTTATTCAATTTGGGTGGTTAAATCCAAGCACTACGTTCCAATTGGCATAGAAGTCCATTAAAACTTCAGATTATCTTCTCCTTCTCACATGGGAAGTTGAAGCAAGGTATGTCCTTGCTAAGAAGGTGTCCCTCCCTGTCCTGCTCCTCTTGGTCAGCAGCTCTGCACAGCACTTGTAGGGTTACTGTCCCAGGAGGGAAACATGCCTTGCAATCACTTAATTTATGTCTAGTAGCTCTGATGAAAATACCATCTGCTGATCCATCAGGATCTGCACGCTCTTCCCACTCCCCCACAGGCAAAGCATTATCTCGTGCATTTGCAGCTCAACATCACAACCCTTCTCCTCCTCCACCCTGCAAGTGGTTGGGGTAGATGGCTCCTGTGCCAGGCAGATGTTCCCAGCACATGTGCTCCTGAAGATTTAGATTAGATTTTAGGAAGAACTTCTTTGCTGTGAGGGTAGTGAGAGCCTGGCCCAGGTTGCCCAGAGAAGCTGTGGCTGCCCCATCCCTGGAGGGGTTCAAGGCCAGGCTGGATGGGGCTTGGAGCAACCTGGTCTGGTGGGAGGTGTCCCTTCCACTAAAAGGGACATACGCAAGAGAAGATAGAATACATTTATCAGGCATCCAGTTATCTTAGGAACTTCTTTATTGCCAATAGACTTAGTAAAAACACTAAAAGATGTCTCTTGTAGGGAACATAGGAAAGTGTTATTTTTAATTTACTTTAAGTCTTTTGGTTTAGACACACATAAAAAATATTGATTTAAAAGAGCAATTAGGTAAAAAGGGAAAATATTCGAAGTAGCAATTTAAATCCAGGATTTAAACTTGCAGAGCACAGAAGTATGGGGTATTCAGGGAATTTTAAAACTCCAAATAAAGTTTAACAAGTCACAGTTAAAAAGAAAAAAGTAAATGTAAGTTCAGTCCAATATTGTTTTCTAGTTCTCTTTTTTTTTTTTTTCCCCAAGCATACGAAAAATACTGTGATTAGAAACTGATTTCCAACGCAAAAATACTTCTGCATTCATCAAAGGAAATTTCAGAACTGCGTTCAAAATTATCCTTTGGGGTTAACCTTGCTGACCTGCTATTTGCTTTAATCAAGGGGGTCCGGAAGACACGGAGCAGAGAAGACTAACCATTGAAGAATTTTAGCACTACATCATCTTTCTGGTTGAGGGTTTTTTACCCCAAAGGAACCTGAAAGCAACGCTCGGATGCAGAGATTGAAGGACTTTAAATCCACTTATTATGCCTCAGTACAAAGAGATGAACAGGATGAACTTCAAGCACCTTCCTATCCACCCTTTCTGTGCTGCTTCACCGCGTATACGCATCAGGAACAGCTGCTAGAGCTGCTCTCTTCCTCTGGGAGAGATAATAAGATACTACTGATGTGATGATCACACCAACACCTCTGCTTCCTTCTCCCTAGGGTTAACTCTCTGCCTTCGCGTCAGGGAGAACCAGGGATATGAATAAAAGGGAGCAACCAAAGTGCAGCCCATGGACAAGGTGCCACGGAATCCTCTTCTAGCAAAAGACACTCTTCAGAAGCCATTCTTACCAATATTTCCTCCTATTTCATAAAGAAAAACCTCTTCTTTCTTCAGTGCTTGGACATTTCCGCTGTCAACAACAAAACACAATGAACAGCAATTAAAAGCTTGTACACGGGCCACTTAGATGTGCCTGGGAGAAATTACACTAATTAAGGTCAGCAGTGTACCTGTCATAAACCCTTCGTTTATACTCTTTACTGACACAGTAAGTGAACAAGAACACCCCTGCATGCTAGTGCAAATTAACAGCCCTGCAAGTGCACAATACACTATAGAAAAGGGAAAATAAGATAGATGTGAAGAAATTGTGGGGTTTAGAAAAGAATCCCATTGCTATTAGCGAGTAGCCTGATATTTACCCTCTGATTTTTCTTTCACTGCTGCTGCAAAAATAAGTATTCCCCTCACACACTTCATATTTCTGAAAAAGCCTTATGGTTGGGTGGGAGAAACCACATTCTCGCTGGTTTTGATTTTGCTGCAACTAAAAGAAGTAAAAAAACAAAAAGACAGTGGAAGAATAAAGTCCCCATTTTACAAAGGGATTCTATTATTCTCACTGCTTAATTATAATAATATATGCTAAAGCACAGCCAGAAAATAACTTTCTGTCAAAAGCCTAAACCTCTAAAAACAGCATTTAGGAAAAAGCAGCTTCTTAGTCTCAAGCAGCACACCACAGTATTGCTTTAGCATGAACAGTTACAGATGATGCAGTTGTGTGTTAAATATGGGGATTTTTTTTTTTGCTAAGTCTATTCTCATTTCTTACTTTGCTCACATATATAAAAAATAATGTAAAAGCTTGATTAAAGCTTCTCCCCTTCTAAATGGATTTCCGTGACTCAAATATAGCTTTTCTTTAAAATCACTGCACATGCAAGATATTTGCACATATTTATATCACAATATCTATATACTGTTGCTACATATAAATGTTTGGGTTTTTTTTTTTTTTTACAAAATATTTTCTTTCTCTTTTCCTCACTCCCTTTTTTCCTAGACTTATTTTCTTGGGAGTTCCATTCTGTCTTCTCCCCGGAAAACCAAAGTATTCATCACCCATTAGATTAAATAGGAGTTAATTTTGTTATTAACAGCATTCATGCATTCCTGGAGGCTTCCTGACCTTTAATGGGGTCCTTTAAAAACTCCTTTATTAGGAGCACGTATTCCAGTGGGCAATGGGCTAAATTCAGCCCGAAAGTTCAGGAACTCACCTGGACTTAAAAGTACTTTAAAACTTCTTTCTCAGAATCACAGAATCATCTAGGCTGGAAGAGACCCTCGGGATCATCAAGTCCAACCATCAGCCCTACTCTAAAGTTCTCCCCTACACCATATCCCCCAACACCACATCAAAATAGTTCTTAAACACAGCCAGGGATGGTGACTCAACCCCCTCCCTGGGCAGCCTGTTCCAATGCCCGACCAATATCTTGATATAATATGTGAATAATAATATATGTGAATATAATACATGAAAAGCCCCTTCTCCCAAAACGGCCACGAACCCAAAATGTGTTTGTACCTTTTCTGGCTGAGAAACCTGGCTACTATATCACCAGCTTTCAGTTCTTCCGTCAGCTGTATTGCCATGGAAACTTTGGAAAGATGCGGCGCCTGCACCCGTATCACTCCCTGAGGAACATCAGCCTGCAAAGGAACAGCAGTTGGGGGGATAAAAGCTGGTGGCAGCCGCCTTTGATGAGTTTCTGAGCACACAGTCTGGAGTAAGTACCGTAGTGCAGTGCTGGGTACTGAACTCCTCTCTGCTACACTTCGCTGCAGAAATACGATAACTACACGGTAATCCTGTAAATTACAGAATTCGCCTCTTTTTTTAACAGCAGGGAGAACTTTAGAACAGAAGAACAGTAGCGCTTAATTATCCTCTTTTTTTAACAGCAGGGAGAACTTTAGGACAGAGGAACGGTAGCGCTTAATTATTTTTCAAAGATGTTTAAGAAAAACAACAGCAATTACTGCTATAATAAAAGCACACTTTGGTTTAACAAGAAGCATGAGATGGTCGTGGAAAAGACTCGCTGCTGAAAGCCAGGCAACCCCCTAGCATCCCCTCAAAGACTTCCAGAAGCAACCTTTCCAGTTTCATCTAAGCTGAATTTCATGCCAAAAAAAGAAGAAATCACATAGTATTCATGGGCGAGTCTACTTTAAGTGATTCCTCTTTTCAAATATCATTTCCTTCTATAACTGATATTCACCACTACAGCTTTTTCTCCCTATTTTTCATTCTCCGGAATACATCCAGGTAGTTAACCTGCAGGTCTGACTACATAATGGATCTGTATTTTATTTCAACGCCAAAATCCTTGATGATGAATATCAATCATATTAGTTACAGAAAAGGAGGGCTCCTTAGGACAGTTTTTCTGTTCAACGTGCAGTACCTGACACCTGAAGTTACAAAAGGCATAATTTATTTGTGAATAAGGTCCTAATTCCTGTTCCCGGAAATCTTGAGGTAATTTTTCTCTTCATCTCACATTACCATTTACCCAAATGTACCCATTTTGATAAGAAAAGAAATAGGAGAGTCGCAGTAGTCAAGGTTGATTATGACAGTTCATTCTCTTCTTGGGGGCCCCCCGTATTTGCTGCGATTGAAAAGCTGAACATTTCTCCTTCCATAATCAATGAACAAATCTGGGCACCTGGGAACCTAGAATAGCTTCTCCCAACCCATGGGAGCTAAACGAATACAGAACAGGGATAAATGTGAGCAGAATCAGAAGCACAGCTTCCCGAGAAAGCTAAAGGCTCATTCCTATAGAAGTGATGAGCTACAGGAAGTCATTTTAACCAAGCTACCCTTCTATATCCAGTCTTATTACTTATTGATTTACAAATACTACGCATAATATCTACTGTCTAAAGCATTAAAAATCACCGAATTGAAAATTTGCTCTGTTGTAATGGTGGAATCAAAGCTTAGTAAGGCTGCAGTGGGTCTCAAAGAGCAACTCCCTACATTTACCCCTAAATTCATCAAATTTGTTCTTTTAATTCCTCCGCCTACGGAAACGATGGCTGCAGCCCTCTGTAGGAAGTTAACTCCTGCTGAAAAATCTTTGGTGTCTTTTCAAACTGTTGGGATCCTGGCAAAATGAAAGGAAACTTAAAGATGACATGGTTATTTACAGATGTCCCTAACGCGTAGGAAGTTAACTCCTGCTGAAAAATCTTTACTGTCCTTTTTTTCAAACTGTTGGGATCCTGGCAAAAGGAAAGGAAACTTTTAAAGATGACACGGTTAGTTACAGATGTCCCTAACTGGTCTTCCATCAAATGTAGCACCATAAATTTAAATTGGTTTTCATTTTTGTATACAATTCTGCATCATTTTGTCCGTTGATGTTAATGGAATTTTTCCAGCCTTCACCTGGATAACAGTTTGCTTTTTTACTCTCTACAGCAGGAATACAACAAATGATTTAAAAAGCTTCATGATTTGAGTAGATGAGAGAAAGACCAAGAAATGTCCACAGAGCTGTAACATTGCGGTCACAGAGCAAACAGAATAATTACTTTGTTTATTCAGACAGAATCATTATTAGCTCCGCTAATGAATGCATTTTGCCACGTTCACCACCTGCGTTTACAGCAGAAGTCACACTCAGCTGCACGTGTTCATGGTGCCCAGCTATGGAGGTGATGGACATTGAGTGTCCCCCACCCATTCAGCGTGCCAGTTGGTGGGACAGAAAATGTGGCCATAAAAGGTGTAGGAGCAGAGTCACAGAAGGACCTGTCCTCTGCAGAGCACAGTTCAAATCATCCACGTTAGGGCTCCATGTGACAACATAGAATCCTAGAATGGTTTGGGTTGGAAGGGACCTTGAAGATCATCCAGTTCCAACCCCCTGCCCTGGGCAGGGACACCTCCCACCAGACCAGGTTGCTCCAAGCCCCATCCAGCCTGGCCTTGACCCCCTCCAGGGATGGGGCAGCCACAGCTTCTCTGGCAACCTGGGCCAGGCTCTCACCACCCTCACAGCAAAGAATTTCTTCCTGAGATCTCATCTAAATCTCCCTTTTTCCGTTTAAAACTGTTACTCTTTGTCCTATGGCTCCATTTCCTGATCAAGAGTCCCTCCCCATCTCTCCTGTAGCTCCTTGAGGGACTGAAAGGGGCTCTACGGTCTCCTTGGAGCCTTCTCCAGGCTGAACCCCCCAACTCTCTCAGCCTGTCCTCACAGCAGAGGGGCTCCAGCCCTTGGAGCATCTTCATGGCCTCCTCTGGACCCATTCCAACAGGTCCATGTTCTTCCTGTGCTGAGGACTCCAGAGCTGGACACAGAGCTCAAGGGGGTGTCTCCCCAGAGGGGAGCAGAGGGGCAGAACCCCCCCCTGGCCCTGCTGGCCACGTTGCTGGGGATGAAGCCCAAGACGTGGTTCTTCCAACCTGTAGTAGATCTTTCTTTCCCTGGCTGGAGGGACCCCAACAGCAACACAAAGACTTAATCCCCAATACATATGGCCTTGGGGCCACAGGTATGCATAGGTATTCCGAAAACCAATTAACCCTCACGAGCGCTCTAATATTAACCACCTTCAATTAACCCTCACGAGCCCTCTAATGTTAACCACTCTCAGCATTGCACAGAGACCTTGCCCGACGTTTGCAGTAAATGCTACTTAACCTCTGTCTTAAAAGGGAAAATGAGACCAATAGACAGGCCTCAACAGAGAGAAAATGAAATTTTATCCAAATTTCAAATTAAGGCAGTATAAATTGAAATTTGGGGGGAAAAAACCACCACACATTTTCCTGAAAGAATGAGACATTTTTTTACCTGGAAAATTGTTATTCACAATGAAGTCTTATTAATTTGGGAATATGATTTGAAGAGCATTATGTTCTCAAGCACCTGAATGCTTCAAATAAGCATAAAGGATTTGTGAGAAGTTGTACTGTTTAAATTTGAAGGAAATCCCCACAGAATTCTAGGGCTTAAAGAAAATTCTTAAATAGTAACTTTACATTTACATTTGAGTAAGAATGCATTACATGAGGCTTCAGCCCTAGCTCCCCAGTGGATTAAAAAAGCATGTTTTACTCTAAAAGACCAACAGCACTGAATTACAAAAAAAAAAAAAATCCAATACCTGAAGCTGCGACAGCTTTTGCCCGTTTCAGTGTATTTGCTGTTATTTCTCTGCTGAACAGGGGATGGCAGCATTAAGTGTCATCTTAGAACTTAATGGACTTATATTTAAAGAATTCTTTTTGTATTAGACAGCATAAAAAAAAGTCAGTGTTAAATTAGCTTTATTTTTAAATTGTATGTAGGTCCTCATTCTGGGTACAGATTCCTTCATGTCGATAGATAACGAAGTAAGGCAAAGTGATGCCTGGGGAATTCATTAATTTTGGACATTAAGAGATGCATCAAATACTGCATACAAAATGAGGCAGGAGCACTGAAATATAAGTTTCCAGCAGAAACTGGAAGCAGTTCTCTAAAGGATCCAGTTATTTGCACATTCAAAAAAAAAATAATAAAAGAAGGCACACTTTCAAGATCAAACCAGGTAGACTTGAAGGACACTACGGCATACTCAATTGCCATATTCGATCTTTTGGCTTAATAGCTTAAAAAGTGCCTTTATTAGAATGTGACACCCCTTTTTTGTAAGAGTTTGCCACACACGTGTTTGATAAGAAAAACCAGACAAAAAAAAAAAAAATCCAATACCTGAAGCTGCGACAGCTTTTGCCCGTTTCAGTGTATTTGCTGTTATTTCTCTGCTGAACAGGGGATGGCAGCATTAAGTGTCATCTTAGAACTTAATGGACTTATATTTAAAGAATTCTTTTTGTATTAGACAGCATAAAAAAAAGTCAGTGTTAAATTAGCTTTATTTTTAAATTGTATGTAGGTCCTCATTCTGGGTACAGATTCCTTCATGTCGATAGATAACGAAGTAAGGCAAAGTGATGCCTGGGGAATTCATTAATTTTGGACATTAAGAGATGCATCAAATACTGCATACAAAATGAGGCAGGAGCACTGAAATATAAGTTTCCAGCAGAAACTGGAAGCAGTTCTCTAAAGGATCCAGTTATTTGCACATTCAAAAAAAAAATAATAAAAGAAGGTATACTCTCAAGATCAAACCAGGTAGACTTGAAGGATACTACGGCATATTCATTTGCCATATTCTATCTTTTGGCTTAATAGCTTAAAAAATACCTTTATTAGAATGTGACACCCCTTTTTTTGTAAGAGTTTGCCACACACGTGTTTGATAAGAAAAACCAGACCGTTCAGATTAATGCATTTTTAGCAGGTACCACAAGATGGCTCTAATTCACCGGAATCTTCAACGGGACTTCAGCCCAGGAGGTGGTATTTTCGTACCACCTAACCCTGAGGTGTATTCCTTAACTTCTCAGGATACACGGATTTGGTGTCACCCATCTACTTATTTAAAATAACTTTGGAATCATGTAAATCAAATGCATTATAATTAAGGTACCAGACAGAGCTTCAAAAAATTGTAATTACTAACGATTGAAATTGTAAATAATAAGCAATTTCAAGGTACATGAGATATATTTTTTTAAAAGTTTCCATGTCAGTTGGAACAGTTCAGTTAAAATATTTCTAAAGTACAGGAAAAATTAACACTATAATGCCATGGGATTCTTTTTTTTTTCCACTGTAAAGAATGTGTGAAGAGTGTTGGCCTGAAACCTATTTCTTGACCGCACCAATGGGTCTGGCAGAAGTCCGTTACCTAAAGGAGAGATACTGAACTGTAGATCATACACCCAGGGGTAAATTGGGAGTAGACACTTGGACAAGAGCTGCAGAAGAAGCAGTTTATCAGGTTTTTTGTAGTTTCCATGTCAGTTGGAACAGTTCAGTTAAAATATTTCTAAAGTACAGGAAAAATTAACACTATAATGCCATGGGATTCTTTTTTTTTTCCACTGTAAAGAATGTGTGAAGAGTGTTGCCCTGAAACCTATTTCTTGACCGCACCAATGGCTCTGGCAGAATTCAGTTACTTAAAGGAGAGATACTGAACTGTAGATCATACACCCAGGGGTAAATTGGGAGTAGACACTCAGACAAGAGCTGCAGATGAAGCAGTTTATCAGGTTTTTTACATTTGTTTCAGCTTTTGGGGTTTCTTGGAGTGGACAGGTTGTGTATGCTCAAGCACGCTCCATTTTACAGGGAATAGTTTAAGATTCATTGAGGCACAGAGTTCAGTGGTTTGGGAACTCCGGTACGAGGAAGAAGGATTAAATGCTGGCTTTGTTTGCAAACACTATTAAATATCAAATAGTGAAATCTAGGTATTTATTTTTTAAGTAAACACATGGTCTTCTGTGACTTCCACTGAGCAGCAACGCATCTAAGCGTGCGTTCAGTATTCTGAGTGCTGACACAACACTTCACCCCCTCTACAGATACAGACCTAATGTACTGTTGTTTCAGATGCTCAAGTTGGAAAAAAAAATTGCGGGATATCATTTTTCAGAATAGAAATATTTTGAAAAATCTGGGAAAACAAACAAACAAACAGCTCAACTCTCTAAATGTCTCATGCTAGTAATCCATAAACTTTGAAACCCATATTGACTTGCTATCTATTGAAATTCTCAGTTAAATAAACATAGATATTTCCTCTGCTATATCCACTTTTTCAGTAGAGATTATAGTCTAGTATATATAAGGTATATATACGCTAATATATAAGGTATTTCCTTATAATAATGTTTTCTTACATCATTAGGGGTCTTCTCCTGTTTCTCATGTTTTTCCCGGTCATATGCCATCTTTTTCAGAAGTTTCTTCATAGCTTTGTCCTTTTTCTCCTTCTTCTGGCTTGCAGTGTTTTGTTTTCTCACTTGGTTAACAATAAACTTAGGAATCTAGATGAATATAGAGAAGATGAATATAGATAGTAAGTATGAATATCTACATCATTTCCTTAAGTAACTAACTCATCAGAACTAGGTAAATTGACAGATTGTCAGGCAGGACTCAGAAAATAGCATTTATTTTCGGTAATAATTAAAGATTCAAATAATATAAAGCTGTGAAACAATTTAAAACTGACTCCATTTGTGATGTTATATCCCATTCAGTAAGCTCTCAGGGGAGGAGAGGTGGAATCAGGCAGTGTTTTTACTTTAGTCAGCCAAAAAAATTCACTCAACACGTAAGTCTGTAGGATGGTGATAATAACTTTTCCTCACACACAGCAAAGGTCAAAATGATTTCAAGTGGCTGATGGAGAACAAAGCCCAAACTTCTCCAGTCTCTCTAATTTAGAGTTTTGCTTGAGACAATTCATGTTTTATCAAAATATATTTTATATAATATGAAGTTTGGCCCAAAAGGGAAATGGACTAAAACACTGTGTTTCTAACTAGTATCTCTAAGGAGAATCTTCTAGGTTGGAAGGGACCTTAAAGATCATCTTGTCCAACCATCAACCTAACTGGCATTAAAAGTAAGGCTCAAATTTAGTTCCACGTCACAATGCTCAAAAAGGAATATGGTTGGACCAGGAGATCTGAAAGGTCACTTCCAACCTAGGTAATTCGATGACTCTGTAATTCCATGAATGAGAATCAACCTTTTCCCAGGAAAGGGAAAAAAAATACAATTGCAAAAAAAAAAATCATTAATTAAATCAAGGTTTTGTCTGTTCACCTAAATCTACACCCTCCTTTCAGGGAGTTGGAGAGAGCAAGAAGGTCTCCCCTCAGCCTCCTCTTCTCCAGGCTGAATAACCTCAGCTCCCTCAGCCTCTCCTCATAAGACTTGTGCTCCAGACCCCTCACCATCTTTGTTGCCTTTGTTGTTTGCCAAAATTTATGATCTCTTTTTTTTTCCCCCTCCTTAAGAACCCACTCACCGTCCAGAGGAGTTTCTGGTACTGAATCATGAAGCGCATGACGTTCGCCGTTCCAGCTGCCATAACAAACTCGCTTTGCTCAATGGTCTTCGAGCCCAACCCATGAAACGTGAAAAGGTTTGGGGCCATCACCATCGCAACATTCTTCAACGTCATTTTGTTCTTCTCTCGATGATCAATCACCCTTTGGAGGAACTCGAGCAGTACCTGAAACAACAGCAGAACTTACAGCTCCACTCCGCACGTCAAAAAGCTCTGAGTGAAACATGACATTACATATTTTTGCAAAAAACTCTTTATTCCTAATAAAACCCCATCAAAACCAATCAATAATAGGAAGCGTGGATATGTTTGTTCACAGGAGGGTAATGCCAGTTTTGTTTCCTTTAAGTCATGAAGCAAATTATTCTCGTTATTTTTGCAGGGGACATTTTCCAAAGCATCCAAGTGACTTCCAAGCCCTGCACGGTAAGATTTTTTTCCAAAACCCTCTTTATGTGGGTGCACAAGTAGCACCCACAGATGCTGTGGAAAACATTATTGTTGGCTTTTCTTAAATTGAGAGTGAACACAATAGAGCCAGCTGTCACAGTTATGGAAACACGGAGTGGCTAGTTCTGCAAGGGAAGCAATTAATGAGTAAACCACCACATTGTGAATGACAGGCAGCCTGTTAGAAACCAAAAATCTTCAATTAATTCAGTTCCAGGTGTTTTTAACTCAACTCAGCAGCCCTCCTGACTGCTTCCACACAGTAAATAAACAAAAAAAAAGAAGTCATGTTTAAACAATAAGACCTAATAGTATCTTTTGCCTGTAATAGAAGATGTTCTGCATCCTACACAAATCCTACAAATTCGTTTTTGATTGTAGCAATTTTAACAGTAAGCATATTCTGAAAAAGATGAATGGCTTTGCTACAAAAGGACAAGCCCAAATTGGACGACTCCATGTAACGTGCTGCAAATACCAATAGGGAGTGTAAATTTAGCATTTATTGAGAGCAGAAACAAACTGCGCAGAGAAAAGTGGGGAATAGAAATGAAGAGTTAAACTCATTTCATAAAAGCAAACTCTCATTCATAATATTCTAGCCCTGTTGATTTTTTGCGTCCCTGTTGATTTTTTTGCATTGGAAAATTGGACTGCTGCAAGAAAAAAAAAAGGAACAAAACTTGTAAGAGAAAAGGTCGCTCACTGGGAGATTATTATTGCAATCTCCTGGAAAAATTTCAAGTCACATTCTTGAAAGTCATTTGGGAGGAATTAGGGTCCTAAGTTGTTGTTTTTTCCCTGAAGTTCTGTGAAATATGAAAAAAAAAAAAAAGAGGAATCACTAGTTTGAGCTGAAAAAAAGACTATTCAAAGACAACAGCTTTTGTTACAGTGGATTCACAGAAACAGACACAGTATTTCTGCAGGACATAAGTATTAGCAATTCTAACCTTCAGAGTGTCTCTGTTTGCCTCAGGTAGAAGGAGAACCAAAAGATTCAAGGCTTGCAGTTGCTGTTTCTTCGTCGGAAGATCTGCCAGTGAAGCACACGAACCTCAGTATTTTAAAATTGTCATTTGTTCTCTTCAAGAAAGCGTGATTTCAAAGCGGAAACCTCTTGCAAAACGCTGAATGCCCACACGTGGCTCTTTGTCACAGCCCAACAAAGGACCTGCAGATACTTGTTTAAGGATACTCATTTCCAAATGTTCTTTTAGGATTCGGTTGCTGTGTGACTCAGCAGCCTCCTGGCAACGTTTTCTAGACGCCTTGTGATTCTTTATTTTGCAAGGTTTCAGGAAGGAATAGTCAGCAAACGGTTCCTCCCCTTTTTGAGCCCCGGCCCCAAGATATAAAAGGGTATTTTCAAAACTGCTTTCCCAGTTTCTCTGGTTGCCTGAGAGGTTGCCTGGTCTCCCAGGTCACCCAGGCAGAACAAATCCCACGTGGGGTCTGCAAGGCAAACCCAAGGCAGGTCTGCAATGGCAAACCAGTGGGGACAAAGCCAAGAGCAGCTTAACACACCCCTACAACCCTGCGTGCTTTCCAACCGTAATAAAAATTAACAGATCTGAATAACCAGGTGACAAATTATACAGCCATTTCAAACATGCAAGTAGTGATAATCTGCCTGCTCTAGAAAGATAGCATTAAAAGTAAGGCTCAAATTTAGTTCCACGTCACAATGCTCAAAAAGGAAGATGGTTGGACCAGAAGATCTGAAAGGTCACTTCCAACCTAGGTAATTCGATGACTCTGTAATTCCATGAATGAGAATCAACCTTTTCTTGGGAAAGTAATCAAAAATACAATTGCAAAAAAAAAAAAAATTCATTAATTAAATCAAGGTTTTCTCTGTTCACCTAAATAACACTTGAATTTTAGTTGTTTGAGCTACTCAAATTAACAAATTTGTTGAAATAAGGTTGTTCAAATACTTAATTCTAACCACACGACTTAGTCACAGTATCAGGAAAAACACTGATGGCTGTCCCAAAGATGGCCCTGTTTCTCTAACACCCAATCTTACTGTGTGTAGCCAACAAGATGGGGAGAAAATTCCGACAGCGGGAGGCTGTGAAGTGCTGTGCCTGTTCTGCATCAAATCATAGAATCACAGAATGGTTTGGGTTGGAAGGAACCTTAAAGATCATCCAGTTCCAACCCCCTGCCCTGGGCAGGGACACCTCCCACCAGACCAGGTTGCTCAAGGCCCCATCCAGCCTGGCCTTGAACACCTCCAGGGATGGGGCAGCCACAGCTTCTCTGGGCAACCTGTTCCAGTGTCTCACCACCCTCATATTAAAAATCCTTTGGCTCAGCCCAGAAAGCACTTTGGATTCTGGCACCTGAATGTTTTCTGGGTAAGTAAAACCACACTGAGCCTTCAGACGGCTCAGGAGCAGCAAACAGCAACCCTCCTGGCTCCAGTCGCCATCCGGGAAGCGGAACAACCTTGTGGGGCTGTTTGCTGCCAGCATCATTGGACAGAACTTTGGCCAGCTTAAGGCAGTACTACAAAATCACCAGCACTATGGAGCAGGTCTAAGCACTAGCCCTCTCCTCCCACCAACCTAATGGCCTTGAAAGGCAGGTACAACCCAGAGACTGACACAGCTCAGAGTTTTTAAGAATCATAGAATCATGGAATTGCCTGAGTTGGAAGGGACCTTTCAGATCATTGAGTCCAATCATCAACCTAACTCTGACAAAACCCACCACTAACCCGTGTCCCTCAGCACCATGTCTGCCTGGCTTTTAAATACCTCCAGGGATGGTGCCTCAACCACTGCCCTGGGCAGCTCTTCCAATGTTTGACAACCCTTTCAGTGAAGAAACTTGTCCTAATATCCATCCTAACCCTCCCCTGGGCAACTTGAGGCCATTTCCTCTTGCCCTATAGCCTGTTCCTTGGGAGCAGAGACCGACCCCCCCTGGCTACACCCTCCTTTCAGGGAGTTGGAGAGAGCCAGAAGGTCTCCCCTCGGCCTCCTTTTCTCCAGGCTGAACACCCCCAGCTCCCTCAGCTGCTCCTCACAAGACTTGTGCTCCAAACAGTCATTTGTCTGCCTGTCCACGGGAATCCCCTGCGAGTGTCCCTGAGGAATGAGCCATCACCCTGCCTGCAGACAAGGGGAATGTGTTTTTCTGAAACCTCCCCTCCTGTGTTGGCTAAGAGTTAATGTATGTGAGTTCTCCCTCCTGATTCATTATCACCAAGCCACCCTCTCTCAATTACAGCTGGTGTGTTTGCTGTCTTGGTGACCAGTTGGCAAGGAGGATGTTTTCACAGGAACTTGCTGATCCCAAGGGATCAGGGACGATCAGCAGTTCTGACTGTTCTGCTCTAACTTTTCCTGCTGTAAATTGATACAATACCCTAAACAGTATATATTACCATTTGTTAGACTTTCGGCAGAACTACATCTTTGCTGTTGCTTTCTTTCAAAGCAAATATTGTTTATAAACTGATACCATCAGACACAATTTCCTTATAACCCACCTATACCTCCTAACAACTATCAGAAACGTCAGAAAGTGGCAGTGTGCTTTTCATTTTATGGGTAAACTATTAAAATAGATGTTACATGAAGTACATTAGCAAAAAATATGCCCGGTCTTTTCTCAGGAGAAGTCATATTGGTGTTAATTCCATTTGTTTTTCAGTTTCACATAGCATTAGGGAAAATACTGCACTTCTCTGCAGCAGGACCAGTTCCAGAAAGGACACTACTCACTCTGCACGTCCTGGAAAGCTTTGAGATATTCCACAGTGAGGAGGGGCTGAGGCAGCTCACGGATGAAGAGCTTGAGAAGACTTGCTGCGTCGTGTTGCTTTACGTTTTCCCAGTTGAAAGTCCCTTCGTAAAATTTTGCTTCCAGTTCCTGGCAAAGACTCTGAAAGGCAGGAGATGGGGAGAGCACCCGTAAGACTCGGCTGCTGGAAGTCACACATCACACATACAGCAAGGCTCCCCATGCTTTTGAGAGGGGTGAGGGGGGAAAGGGACATCTGAAATATCACTTAACTCCAGCTGCCACGGATCTTTTGCTACAAAAAGATAAATTGGGGATCAGGAGCACCACAAGCAGATAGTAATAGGCAGCAGGCAGCCAAGGAAGAAATCACATGGACCTGCCTCAGGGCCATATGGAATATCCTACAAAAACCAGATATTCTACTCATTTGCATAAGGGGTATGACTTCCCCTACCCCAGAATATTATGACAGAGCTGATAGAGATAGCAATTCTCAAACTGCTACCAAAGGGTGTTGCCATAATGCATGCATGGCCATTTCCATAATGAAATACGGCAATTATGCACGTTGAAACACAATTTCCTATCAAAACACACACTAAGATGAGGCTGGTTCTCCCGTCAAGTTCCAACCCCCTGCCCTGGGCAGGGACACCTCCCACCAGACCAGGTTGCTCCAAGCCCCATCCAGCCTGGCCTTGAACCCCTCCAGGGATGGGGCAGCCACAGCTTCTCTGGGCAACATGGGCCAGGCTCTCACCACCCTCTTTCTAGAATTTCTTCCTAATATCTCATCTAAAACTCCTCTGTTTCAGTTTAAAACCATTACCCCTCGTCCTATCACTCCCCTCCCTCATCAACATGGGCCAGGCTCTCACCACCCTCTTTCTAGTTCTTTCTAGTATCTAATCTGAATCTCCCCTCTTTCAGTTTAAAACCATTCCCCCTCGTCCTGTGGCTCCCCTCCCTGATCAAGAGTCCCTCCCATTCCTCCTGGAGCCCCTTGAGGGACTGGAAGGGGCTCTAAGATCTCCCCAAAGCCTTCTCTTCTCCAGGCTGAAAACCCCAAACTCTCAGCCTGCCCCCACAGCAGAGGGGCTTCAGCCCTCATGGCCCTCCTTTTGGACCTATTCCAACAGGTCTGTGTCCTTCTTATGTTGAGGACACCAAAGCTGGACACAGCACTCCAGGTGGAGTCTCACGAGAGCAGAGTAGAGGAGGAGAATCACCTCCCTTGACGCTTCTTTTGATGCAGCCTGGGATGTGTTTGGCTTTCTGGGAACGTGCTGCAAAGACTGAGTCCTTCTTAGTCTCCTGTTAAGCATCAGTCCCAGCCTCACACCCACTTCATTCATTTCCCAGCCTGGCAGAGTGGGAAGTGGTCACAATATAGGGCCAGTGGCCCTAAGGCACCTCTCACAAGTCCCTCCCTGAGTTCTTCCAGACAGAAAAGTCCAGAGGCACTGGCTTGTTTGGTAAACTACATGAGATGAAGTGAGGGGAAGTGCTATGGAAAAATATGGCCTTTATTTATCTGGACAAGAAGGACACATTGGATAGAGGATACTAGATACATTTTTAAGATACTGTTCTCATAATATTTAACTTTGCCCAAATGGAAAATGGATCTATTTCCAAAGAAAATGTGGACACTCAGGTTGATATAAAAGTCCGATGTTCTCAACTGTCCTCCAGAGAGATCTTCTCTCTCCACTGATTAATAGGGAGTTCAAAGGTGCAAAGATCCTATGTCTAAAGTCATGTGGGTAACGATTTCCTGCTCATCAGCAAAAGAAAACTTTCTTTCTAAAGTTGAAAATTCTTCCCCTGAGTCTCATCAGCTCCTCCATCCACATTCTTACCAAATCACTGTGGCAAATGCAGTATTAAACATCCAGATAAAATGAATTATTCTGAGAGGCAAGAGCAGATGTGTCAATTCTGTGTCCTAATGCACCAATGCTTAGATTTTAAAGCAAATTTATTTAACTATTGGTTATATGCAATGCATTTTTTAATAATAAGTCTAAAATCTACAGAATAAGATAGAAAAATATTTTTCTTGTGATTATGCATGTCTTTCTATAAAAAGAGGAACTACATAACGAGGAAAATATTATCTTTTTCTGTAGGAGAAAAAAGATTAAGAAAATTAAGAGAAGCCATCAGTCCTGTATTATGCTAAATTCTTTGGTTTTCTGTAAATGTTTCCATTTGAATAAGTAAAGGAACTTAACATCTTTGCTAAAAAAACAATTGCTACATTCAAAGAAGCAGCTCCTGCAAATAAAGAGGTAAAAAATTAATGGCAGTCAAATAATTAATGATCCCCCGCCTGGGAAATTGTATTAAACTGATAAAATCAAAGAATAAACAGATAAACAACAATCACTTCAAAATGATTCCTGTACGCAGAACCGATGAAAAGTGGAAAATAAAGAATGGAGGAAAATTGTAAGAAGAATTAAAAAAAAATCATCTTAGTTACTGGTAAATAAACAAAGGCAATTTCCATGATAGTCCCTTTTTTCAGTTGTTTCTAGTGAAGCAGCTGTTGGAGCGAGTTCTCCATGACAGAGGCTGGCAGAGGGCTTCAGGCAGCTGAATCCACTTAAACGGTCCTTTCTGTTCAGAATTTAAGGCTGGTTCAGACCATCTTTTTAACACATTGACTCTTGGCGTGAATCATCACAGTGTCACTTATTTTCCTGCATTACTGGCAAAAAGAGCCTGTGAGCAATTGGCACTCGCTCCGTGAAGTGTCGGTGTGTAAAGACACATCTAAGAAGATTGTGCCTCCTGAGCTGAGCAGCTGGACAGCTGTTTATAAAAATAAATGTGAGAGGTTCTCCAGCGCACGCTGCCTACCTTGCCCTGTAACGCGGGTTAAATCCAGCTATTAAAACAGGCTCATAATGCCAGAGAAAACCTTCCTCCCGGGGTAGAAAGGCTACACATGAACTGTTCAGATGATTAAGCTGGTTCAGGTGAAAAGCAAAAGGCTGGAAAGCTCATGCCAAGACTTAAGGAGATTTTGGCACAATTGAATTTGAAACGCAGCCTTGACTCTCCTTCAAACTCAAACTCCAGCCTTCTCCCCAAAACTGCCCTGGATGAAACCATCAGCTCCCTGGCTAACACTTCTTTGTACAGAGACTTTGCTTTCTGGTTTTGAAAATTTTCATAACAACCTGGTATTAAAATATATTTCCACAACAAAATAAAATAAGGAAGTTGAGGTAGGTTTTGGGGGATGTGAAGGATCTGTGCAATGATTTACCTTTACTCTTGTTGCAACTCCTGGTATCCTGAGAAGTCCTTCTGTTTCCAGAGTCGCCTCTTCTATCTGGGCAATCAGCTGTCAAACACAAAGCAAACCGCATGAATGAAGATGCCAATTAAAAATTACTGGTAAATAGTTGTGATATTCTGGAGCCTTTATGTCTGTATGTATACGTGCATTTGTGTATCCATGTACACAACCAGTAGACACACAAACAGTTTACAAATGTATTACAGTTGGTGTAGGAAAAAAAACCCAATTTAACATGGCTCCTAAGCTGTTTTAAGGACACTATTAAATAAGAGTTTGCCTATTTTATTAAAAAAGAAAACTATAGTTTTTTCAATCTCCTGCAGAGACTGAAGCAGTTTTTTTCCAAAATTGCTGTCTTCAAAAATAAATCCCCATTACTACCCTTGTTAAAGTGTCTTCAAATCAAAACAATTAAGGTAACATTAGAGATAAACTACTAACTTTCTCGCAAATACTCATCCTTACCAGAGAAAACCTCAAACACAAAGCAAACTGCATGAATGAAGATGCCAATTAAAAATTACTGGTAAATAGCTGTGATATTCTGGAGCCTTTAAGTCTGTATGTATACATGCATTTGTGCATGCATGTACACAACCAGGAGACACACAAACAGTTTACAAATGTATTACACTTGGTGTAGGAAAAAAACCTAATTTAACATGGCTCCTAACCTGTTTTAAGGACACTATTAAAGAAGAGTTTGCCTATTTTATTAAAAAAGATAACTGTATTTTTTTCCAATTTCCTTCAGAGACTGAAGCAGTTTTTTTCCAAAATTGCTGTCTTCAAAATTAAATCCCCATTACTACCCTTGTTAAAGTGTCTCCAAATCAACACAATTAAGGTAACATTAGAGATAAACTACTAACTTTCTCGCAAATACTCATCCTTACCAGAGAAAACCTAATCACTTCTAGGCTTTAAGGAAGCTTCATTTTGGAAAATCCTGGTATTCTCCTAACGAACTCAACAGTTTGCAATCCTAAGCATGGCTTAGATAAATTAGTAGAAATTCTATAAAAGTACTTAAAACACGTATCATAAATTCCCTTTCTCTAAAAGGCATGCCTGGAACTACTCACAAGTACGGATGGGACCTAGTAGGTCTCCGGGGCAAATCAAAACAATTAAGGTAACATTAGAGATAAACTACTAACTTTCTCACAAATACTCATCCTTACCAGAGAAAACCTAATCACTTCTAGGCTTTAAGGAAGCTTCAATTTGGAAAATCCTGGCATTCTCTTAACGAACACAACAGTTTGCAATCCTAAGCATGGCTTAGATAAGTTAGTAGAAATTCTATAAAAGTACTTAAAACAGATAAACTACTAACTTTCTCGCAAATACTCATCCTTACCAGAGAAAACCTAATCACTTCTAGGCTTTAAGGAAGCTTCATTTTGGAAAATCCTGGTATTCTCCTAACGAACTAATTCTATGATTCTATGATTCTATGGAAGAGCATTCAAAAGAAGCTGATGACATCATTTTAGCACAAACAGTTCTCCCACTGTTTAAGTGGGGCAGTGCCCCTGTCACACACCTTCCCCTGCCAGCCCGGCAGTAAGAAAAATTATGCAACAGGTCTTCTCCAGTTACAGAAATTCAAGGGGCTTTACCTGTCACTGTATTTATGTAACTGATAAGTGCCATGAAATGAAATGAAATGAAATGGAGGTGTATTTTTTATGAAAAGATTTTTTTTTTAATTAAGGAGGCTTCATATTAGCTTCGTTTGTTTCATTTTAGTGATAACCAAGTACGCACAAAAATGTTTTTTCTTGCACTTTACATAAACCCCCTGGAAAAAATAAAGGGCAGCCTTACTGATAATCACAGAATCATGGAATGGTTAGAGTTGGAAGGGACCTTAAAGATCATCCAGTTCCAACCCCCTGCCCTGGGCAGGGACACCTCCCACCAGACCAGGTTGCTCCAAGCCCCATCCAGCCTGGCCTTGAACCCCTCCAGGGATGGGGCAGCCACAGCTTCTCTGGGCAACCTGGGCCAGGCTCTCACCACCCTCACAGCAAAGAAGTTCTTCCTCACATCTCATCTCCATCTCCCTTCTTTCAATTTAATGGGAGTTACACCAGCTTTTTGAAATGGAATTTGGCTCCACAGCAGGTTCCTACACTGACTGTCAGTTTTCACAGGCTCATTAGCAAACTTGCCTAAATCATGGAGAGCAGTTGTAACAAAAACTGAACTTTATTCCTTTAACTCAAAATATGTCTGATAAAAAGCAACGTATCACATTTAGTCAATTAGAGACTAAAGCTGCACATAAAAACTACAATAACTTTGACGGATTACAGTAATATACTGAACACTGTGCCACAGGGAGCAAAGTAATCCAGGACAAAATGTTATTGTTTGTCATTTGCAGGTATGTAACAAGTAGACTTGGTCGTGCCTATTTACCTTCTGAAAAATCAGTGGGATCTTGGTTCCTGGCACCTTCTTCTGATCCTGTTCCAGTAAAACTGACAGTGGGACACCAAACAAGCCAGAGTCTGAAGAATAAAGCAAAGAAAAAGGGAGATATTATCCACATCTGTTCCAGTACGTGTGATAATGACATAAACCCACAGTTTGGAAGCGATAAGCTCATTCAATACATTCAGAGCTATTGACCTTGTGTCCAAAGTGTTTGAACATCTTTGTCAATCAAGTTGTTACACAAAGCATTCTGGCTAAAAGGATTCATTCATCGCTTCCTTCCACCATAAATCAGGAGTCTTTCTGTTTAGAATTCAAATTGCCCTCTGCATATTCTGCAGCACAGCAAAGCAAACTGCATAAAATCTACGTTTGCAGAATAGGTGTGACGATGACCTTGCAAGGCAGAACTTCATCGCAAGTTATTATCATCAAGATGCAAATGGCACGAGTAAAATCTCCAGAAATCTGGCTACTAAAATAAGACAGATGTAATTATCACCTGGAGTTACTCCAAATGCTTCTTTCTACTGGGGCTTTGAAAGAAGAGCTTTTCCAACCCCTGTTGAAACCTTTTGCATTATACAACACTGGTAAGGATACAAAGATCACCATTTTGCCAAAGGTCTTGGACAAGGTGATCTTTAAGGTCCCTTCCAACCCAGAAGATTCTGTGATTCTGTCTTCTGCTTTTTCTTTTATTTTTTTTAAATAAAAATAAAAGTACAGTTAAGTCTTGGTTAGAAAATAGCCTTTACAACAGCACTAAGACAATGCAAATCAAAAAAACCAATGGAATCTAGTCTCAGTTAATCTAGCTCTGATGCAAAACTAGAATCATAGAATGGTTTGGGTTGGAAGGGACCTTAAAGATCATCAAGTTCCACCCCCCTGCCCTGGGCAGGGACACCTCCCACCAGACCAGGTTGCTCCAAGCCCCATCCAGCCTGGCCTTGAACCCCTCCAGGGATGGGGCAGCCACAGCTTCTCTGGGCAACCTGGGCCAGGCTCTCACCACCCTCACACCAAAGAAGTTCTTTCTAGTATCTAATCTAAATCTCCCCTTTCCAATTTAGAACTTCAGTTTAAAACCATTACCCCTTGTCCTCTCCGCTCCCTGACAAACAGTCCCTCCCCATCTCTCCTGTAGCTCACTTTTTACGGACTGGAAGGGGCTCTAAGGTCTCCCCAGAGCCTTCTCTTCTCCAGGCTGAACACCCCCAGCTCTCTCAGCCTGTCCTCACAGCAGAGGGGCTCCATCCCTCTGAGCATTTTCAAGGCCCTCCACTGGACCCGCTCCGACAGGTACATGTCCTTCCTGTGCTGAGGACTCCAGAGCTGGACGCGGTGCTCCAGGTGGAGTCTAATGAGAGCAGAGGGGCAGAATCACCCCCTGCAACCTGCTGGCCACACTTCTTTTGATGCAGCCCAGGATGGGGTTGGCTCTCTGGGCTGCCAGCATGCCTTGCTGGCTCATGTTGAGCTTCTCATCCATGAGCCCTCCCAAGTCCTTCTCCTCAGGGCTGCTCTCCAGCCATTCTCCACCCAACCTGGATTTGTGCCTGGGATTGCCCCAACCCACGTGCAGGACCTTGCCCTTGGCTTGGTTCCTTCATGAGGAACTTCATGACTATCCTTAGTCTTTAAGTAAGTGGAACTCCCATGCGTTTATGGCCCAGCTGATTAGAAGTGAATGACAATTAAAAGAGAGCTATACTAACAATGAACCCAAAGGTGGTTGACACAGAACTTCTTCATCTGAAGTGATGATAATTGCCATAGGTGCAATTCTTCTGAAGTGGCAAACAAGACTATATGTAGCTAAAACCCCCTGCTTGGCATGAGCCCATGCCAATATTAAGGACAGAACAGCCCTAATTACTAAAAAGATGTCAGCCCCTGAGGGAATGTCAAAGGGGGATGTATGTCAAAGAAACATCAGTTTCAGTGCCAACCCAGGGAGTTCTTGTGTCTCTGTCAGCATAAAAAGTCTACCTATAAAATATGTACCTATAAAACTTGTACGTAGAGTCAATATCCACAGCCCATGCCAAGTTTTATCATCTTGAAGATCTTGTCAACAATAAAAGTTTCTACTGAAATGAAGTTGGAGAAACAAACTGTAGGAGGTCAAGAGAAAGGCAGGGCTGGGCACGGCATTTCCCAGAATTATGCTTTCATCATCTTTACGTATTCAAGCACAAAGGGGAAGAGCCAACAGATCCACCTTTGTATGAATTAATTGGCCAAACACCACTCCGGAGTGAAGGGCACCGAAGGCATCACACTGCAAAAGCAGATTTGTTTGACGTGTCATTGTCTATTCCCTACACATTCCCATCAGCCTAGCCCCTCTTTTTCAACTTTTAAGAGAGCTTTTAATCAATTCAAAGTTTTTAATGAACGCCTGTCATTCAGATAACAATGCTATGTACGAATGAAATTCAATTAACAATTTGGTAAGAAGAATTAATTAAAACAAAGACCCAAAATATACGAGAAGAAAGTGTTTCGTCTGCTGTTCTGCAAGAAGAAAATGCATTGAAGGGGTCAAGGTCTTGTAGATGTTTCTGTGTATGCCTTTTGCATTTAAAAAGTTATTTTCCACTACTGTAAAGCAAAGAATGTATTCTGAAGAATCGGTTGTACCTTGCTGTGTACCTCTCAACCCTCTCTGTTGCTTTCAATTATTTAAAGTGAGCTGTCACATTCACTGAACCTTGACAACAGGGTTTTGGCTGAAGCAGGTTTGTGATTAACTGGTAACACGTTTCAAGATCTTGTAAAGCATTTAGCAGAAGCCAGAATCAGAGAAACCAGAAAAAGCACTGAAAACTTCTAGCATCTTGCAATGGGTTTCCATGTGCCTGATGTTCCAAGACAAGCACTGTGATTATACACATGCTCCAAGGGATTGCAGAGCAAAATGACCTGTCACAGCTTTCTCCACATCCTCTGCAACAGCCCAGATCTTCCACTTAATATGACGCCACTCAGCAGAAAAATTGAATTATGGCCTGAATAAATACTGGATGGGCAGGGCCTATGTGACACAGGAAAGTCTGCGCCACACAAAAGAGGAAGGCAGGTATAATTAAAGGAAAGGTGTATAATTACATGCTGCTCAGGACCTATGTTACTATTTATCTATTAATACACACTTTCTGCTGGAACATCATAAAGAACTGGATGCATTTGTGCATCTGGATTAAACCAGACCCATTTGGTTCAGAATATGAAACGCTGACTCACCTTTGGTTTTTATTTTTACAGCTTTTTGCTGCTTGAATTCTGTCCCAAGTATGTCATAGAGAGCAGTTAATTCAATCAGTGCTAAAGAATAGACTTTCTTCATGTCCTGAGGGGCCAGGTCACCAATCTTTGTGGTACCCGTTTTGTCCTTCGGCAGCCTGAAATTCTAAAAGCAGAGATTTGCAGCAGAGTGAATAATCCAAGTCATAACAAGTTACTGAGCCTGAAGGCTGTGCTTCCTTCAGGGCACAACCTTTCATCACGAAGCCTGTGGCTACTGACTAAACCACAGGAGAAGCCTCCAAATAGGTTAAAAAGCAGATGACCTTAAAATCATCGGAGGATTTAGGTTCCTGGTGACTTCTGGAGGTCGTCGAATTCAACTGCCTTCTCCAGGCAAGGCTAAAGTCAAAGTTTGATTGGCTTGGTTGTTGTGTTGTCCTACTGAATTTTGGAAACTCCCAATAGCCTCTGAGGGCACCCAATCCAGAGCTCAACACTCCCATGGGGACTTTTTTTACTTTGCAAAAGATAATTTCCCCTGTAGTCTCTTGTGCCCTTTGCCTCTTGCCCTTTCACTCTGCACCTCCAAGAACAATCTGGCTTTGTCCTTCCTGTAACCACCTCTTGAAGGCTGTGCTTCCTTCAGGGCACAACCTTTCATCACGAAGCCTGTGGCTACTGACTAAACCACAGGAGAAGCCTCCAAATAGGTTAAAAAGCAGATGACCTTAAAATCATCGGAGGATTTAGGTTCCTGGTGACTTCTGGAGGTCGTCGAATTCAACTGCCTTCTCCAGGCAAGGCTAAAGTCAAAGTTTGATTGGCTTGGTTGTTGTGTTGTCCTACTGAATTTTGGAAACTCCCAATAGCCTCTGAGGGCACCCAATCCAGAGCTCAACACTCCCATGGGGACTTTTTTTACTTTGCAAAAGATAATTTCCCCTGTAGTCTCTTGTGCCCTTTGCCTCTTGCCCTTTCACTCTGCACCTCCAAGAACAATCTGGCTTTGTCCTTCCTGTAACCACCTCCCACCCCTCCCCACACCACCACCTTCTGCATCTTTTTGCAATTTCTAGTGGTGGAAATGGCTGTCCATGAACAATCCTATGCATGTACGACTGGGATAGAAATCCCTCTGCACTTACACACACAAAGTAACATATTTGGCTGCCCTATTATAATAATAAAGGGTTTCACTTCTTAGGGAAGGGGAAACCTTATTTATGGTGCTTATCTACTGCACTAAATGCTCAGAAGCTGAAGTTAGAGACCAGTATAAGGAATTGAGCCAACATGGAGAGGAACTTCCCAACTCAGAGCTTTTTAACTCTTTCTCTCCCCAGCAGGCTCCTAGGTAAGCCTCCTGCCTGTGCCTGACATTAGCAGTGTGCATGACCCAAAGCAGGAAGGTTGGAAAGACATGGAAATATTTATCATACTCCAGAATGACCTTCTCACCTTGTACAACCCCAGTGAGAGCAGAGATGAATTGGTGGTTATGGTTACAAGGCCACAAACCAAAACATAAATATCATTTACAAACTGAAGATAATCAGCTTCCCACCTTGAAGTTTCATTGACTTGCACAAACATCTATGTCTATTATAATAATAAAGGGTTTCACTTCTTAGGGAAGGGGAAACCTTATTTATGGTGCTTATCTACTGCACTAAATGCTCAGAAGCTGAAGTTAGAGACCAGTATAAGGAATTGAGCCAACATGGAGAGGAACTTCCCAACTCAGAGCTTTTTAACTCTTTCTCTCCCCAGCAGGCTCCTAGGTAAGCCTCCTGCCTGTGCCTGACATTAGCAGTGTGCATGACCCAAAGCAGGAAGGTTGGAAAGACATGGAAATATTTATCATACTCCAGAATGACCTTCTCACCTTGTACAACCCCAGTGAGAGCAGAGATGAATTGGTGGTTATGGTTCCAAGGCCACAAACCGAAACATAAACATAATTTACAAACTGAAGATAATCAGTTTCCCACCTTGAGGTTTCATTGACTTGCACAAACACCTATGCTTAAAAATAACTGCCAATGGGGAAGGTGCAACAAATAAAAACTGTAGATTTAAAATAGGTAACTCACGTCCTATCATTTTGCCACTCCTTTCATCACTGAAGGAGAAATCCCATATCCATGTCTATAGCAGTCCTTCATGAGCCTAACTGAAAGTTTAGCTAATGTATGTGCTGTGCATATATATACACATAATTATATACAGAAGTAAGTTAGAGTATAGCTATTGTTTCCTTCTTAGAGGCTATATTAGAGAAACATGACTCAAACCCTTCAGAATCCTTTTCTAAATATCCATTAGTGTCTGGTTTATAATGTTTAAACTAGGATACACGGGGTGATTATTATTTGAAGAACTGCACACATCTTTATCTAAATTAAGTGTTTGAAGAACTGTGAAATGTTATTACTTCAGACACTGTATTTACTCAGACGTGTTTGCATACACTGCTAGGAATAAAAAGAATATATTTTTTCACACCAGTCATTAGTTTACAGGCCACATGTAACTGCATGTTTATAAGCTGTTAGGAATAGAGTGATCCTCGAAGAGATGCTTGAGGATCAACAACTAAATGCCTTGGAGGATATTCATTTGTATTAATTTGGATTCATTCAGAATAAGCCTTTTTTTATTAAGAGTTGGAATGTAAAACTGAGCACAAACCCTTAATTTCCTGCCGTTTGACCTTAGACCTCTCTAGACCATCCTGTTCTTCATTCTCATCCCCCATGTAGCTGCACTGGATAATGCACAAGGTTTCTACAGGCACCCACCAACCCTTCTTAAATGACAAGAGAGATTTTTATTATAGAAGCAAAGCAGCTCACCTCAGATAACAGGAAAACAGCTGTAAACAAATGAAGTAAGGACACGGTTTGTGTACAAATGCCACCAAGCCAGCATTCCCACTTACTATTACCAGTCCATTACTGCTTAAACATTTTGCCAGACAGGCAATGACATCAATAGGCATAAGAGAAGTTGTTTCCATGTCATTGAGAATACTGTCCCCAAAAATGAGTTGTCTCGAGAAGGTCCACCTCCACGAAGCTTGATCCGACAACGTTCTTCTAAATCTAATTAACCCACTATCAGCTAAACATCACCCAAACAGTACCACGAGTAAAAACAATGAATGAGAGCACTAACGAGGAAACACTTACCGGGAGGAGAGTGTCTCCCCCTCCACCCTTGCACATTCTGCCTATTGAGCTGTCCTTGAGGTTAGCTGCCTGTTCTGCAAACGATATCTCCAAATTGATGTCAGTGTCCGAAAACGGCAAGTCTTCAGGTGGGCTCTTCTGCTCATCCATTCCAAGACTGAAATTTGGACCTAAAAACAAAGTAAAAAAAACCCCTAAGAATCCACAGCAGCACAACTGAACACCACTCAGTGCATGGGAGTAAGGTTAATACCAAGTAGAAGTTAATGCTGTGCAAAGGGTGGACTCTCTTGGTGCAAATTCACCGATTTCCGCATTTTTTTAACGTCAGTTGAAAATTTAGCTTCTTACAAGGTTCCATCTTTTGTAGTTTTTCTTGAATAATTCTGCCAAGGCATGGGGTTTTCTCCTATTTATCTGTTATGAAAAGATAAAGCAAACCACCTCAAACAGGAGACTCCCAGAACCTTCCAGGACCAAACAGCTTTGGCATCCGAAGTTTCTTGCCACCAAACACTCTCCAGCCCCAAAGGTTTTAACATCTTGCAATCAAATCAGCAATTCTTTCTGCTGTTAAGATTTCAAAAGCAAAAGAGAATGTTCCCTCTATGATCTAAAGCCTTAACATCTGGGAATAACAGGGAATACACAGATCATGTCTTTGTCCCAACATTCCTGCCCTCCCCTCAGTCTGAAGAGCCCATATTCCTCAAAACTGTTTGGACGCATTTTCGTGATACAGGGAAGGACTAAGTACACAACAATGGCCTCACTTCTCATTCTTGGTTCCTTAAAAGAATCAAACACTAAACAAATTTAGAATATTTCTTGTTTAAAAAAAAAACAAAACAAAACACACAACCAAAAAAAACCAAAAGGAGGAAAAGAAAGGGAGAGGCAGTTCTGCTTTTAGAAAAAGAAGTCGTCTAATTGCATGGTAAATCAACCACTGCTTTTCAATCTGAACTTAAAATATATCATAAAAGAACCAAGGGGAAAATTATATGGGAAATAGTACTATTTAAAACAAAGCATCAAAGACAATTTAGCCAGAGAAAGATTCTGGTCTCTCCACCGCCTCTCCCGTGAAAGTTCTTAGGAGAGAACTTTAGAGTAGGGTGGATGGTTGGACTCGATGATCCCGAGGGTCTCTTCCAGCCTAGATGATTCTGTGATTCTGTGATGAGGCACTTCCTACCATCCAGGACTAGATTCCTTGTACCTCTTGTGATGTGGTACTTCTTAAGGAGTTCCTTGTACCAGACATTACAAATACCTTGGAAGTATTTGTGATGAAATTCAGACTTTCTTAAAACCAGCCGAAATATATAAACAAATCAATCCTGCTCATTTCAGCAGGATTGTGACTCTGCAACTGGCCCCTACTTCCAGAAGACTGCAGCCTGTTCAAAGCTGACATCCCATGAGTGCTGGAAAAGTGGGGTGGAAACAGGCAGGAGTTGAGGAGGAGAACCATGAGCATAGGCTTTGGTGTAACAATATTGTGTAACATAAGAGATTAATTTCTTTACACCACTGTGGGAACATTTTGTTTGGGCTGGAACAACTATGCTAAGTGAAGCCAGAAACAAATTCCCAGAAAATAGTTGCAGTTACAGCAACATTTGACCTTGAAGCAGGGGAAAGGCTGCAGATAGCTCATTCAGGGAGAAGGCATCAGACTCACACTTGCAGCTGTCTGAGAAAGGGCTGAGCTGCCAGCATGCAACCCAAGCAACAGATGAAGAAATCAAGTTTAAAAGAAATAATCTATCATAGAACCATAGAATGGTTTGGGTTGGAAGGGAACGTAAAGATCATCCAGTTCCACCCCCTGCCCTGGGCAGGGACACCTCCCACCAGACCATAGAATGGTTTGGGTTGGAAGGGACCTTAAAGATCATCCAGTTCCAACCCCCTGCCCTGGGCAGGGACACCTCCCACCAGACCAGGTAGCTCCAAGCCCCACCCAGCCTGGCCTTGAACCCCTCCAGGGCCAGGCTCTCACCACCAAAGAAGTTCTTCCCCACATCTCATCTCCATCTCCCCTCTTTCAGTTTAAAACCACTACTCCTTGTCCATTTGCTACAACTAGAAAATTTTTACGAATTCTATCTGCATCTAATTGAAAGGCCATACACAAAAGAAGACTGGCCTCTGATATTCTTTAGAGTGAATCCTGACAATGACCAAACAGAGGGGACATGGTGGACAGGCTCTTGTAGGGCACAGCACTTGATGCCACCACTCCCACTTGAGTGTAATCCATCTGGAGCTGAGACACTTCCAGAGAGAGAAGATGGATGCGAGTTAACTCTTTGACTCTACTTACAACCAAGCAATGATGTGAGAAGAAGAGTAAAACATGTCCAAATTTTGCCTGTTGTGTGTGTTACCCACCACTCACTCTCTCCAGAGTGGCTTCTGCTCACTCTCCACAGACCCCGAAAGCTGCCTGGGGCAAACACTAAAGATTAAGCTGATCCTGAAACTAGAGCTGCTTTCAGTAAAGAGATATGTGAGACTCGGTAACCAAACATAGCCAAGGTCAAATTCATCCTTGGCTGATCTTCAGCCTCCCTGTGTGTGTATCTGTAAACACCATGTAAACTGTTTAATGCATCCCAACTACAGGAAAACAGTTCCCCCCCAAGACTTTTGTCATGCTAATGTGGCCTACACCTGACCTACATACTTCCCACCAGCCTGGGAGGGAGCTGATGGTAGGGAACAAGAAATAAATAGCTCCAGTTTCGGTCTTGTGGTCCCAGGAAGGCACCATGTAAAGGAGATGTCTTGGTGGATGTTTCAAAGGGCTGGAAATCACAGAATCACAGAATCTTCTAGGTTGGAAGGGACCTTAAAGATCATCTTGTCCAACCGTCAACCTAACTGACAAAAATAGACACCCACACAACAAACAAATGCTGCTGTGCTGGGGAGTTTCTTCTTGCTCCTAGAGCCTTGCTCCTATTTTTGTGCAGTCATTAAGCAGGAAGCAGCTGGAGGAGGAGGAGGAGGCAGCTTTGGGGTTCTGCCAACCCCCCAACTGCATGCACTAGTTCAGGAGAGAAATGGAAGTGCGATACAAAAGAAAAAAAAAAAAAAAAAAAAAAAAGAAAAGTAAATACTGCCTATAAGGATGTGGTAAAGGTGTTTTATGTCACTCCCACACCCTTTCCTTGGTTCATGGTGCTGTCTAAGGATCAGATCAAGTGATGGGGATTCTTCAGGAGTGGGGTGGGGGTTACATTTTGGGTTTCCTTTTATGAGGACATGGAAATAGCGCAAGCATCAACCTTGCTATTTCCCAGTTTTGCTAGAGAATCTAGAGTATACCTCAGTGGAGCTATGCTGATAGATCTTAATTTATAATAAGGTAAAACAGCTGATTTAGGCAGGTTTTGACTGAGAAAGAGATATAATGCTAAATTCATTTAGCAATTTAGCAGGCTAAGTCTAAAATACTGTAATTCATAGATGATTTTTGATGTTTTTTACCAAAAATCATAGATGGTTTTTATCAGAGTTAGGTTGATGGTTGGACTAGATGAGCTGAAAGGTCCCTTCCAACCTAGACAATTCTATGATTCTACGATTTTAAATAGAAAACAAAAAACTTTGTAATCTTTTCATGAAGATTCTATCACCCTGGCCATAGATTATTAACTTATCATGCGAAGTGAAAAGCAGAAATCAACTCTTTAATTAAAAAATACAACCACATTTCAGTATTTTTCCCTATCAAGAAGCAAACATTACAGCTCTTTTTTCCTAGAGTTACACATAGTTCATGCAATTCTTTCATCCATTTGATTATGCTTCGAGGTTGTCTTCTACAGAGGTTTTATCTAACATTCTTCCCTTGCAGCTGCTCCTGGCTGTCCAGAAGGACAACTACAGTCCTGCAGTAAACTGATTTTTGCTGTTCCCCTACATAAGCCAAGGAGTATTTAGCTTTTCATCTGCTTTCTTCTGTCCTTTTTATTTCTTGAGAGGTCTCAACCAACACGGTTATTTACTCCTTTTCAAAGGCATCCAAAGAGAATTACGTTTTTTTCTTTGGTAGCTGTTAAACATATTGCTAGCCATGCAGGTCTTTAGTGGCTACTATGGATTGTTAAAATGATAACGTCTTTTGACACCTTAATACATGACTGAATTTTCTTTGCATTTCATGTAGACACATTCTGTACCTACATGAAACAAAGAGGCACTTTAAGCCAGTAAGTGAGGGTCCTTCCAAAAAAACCCTCAAATATTCATCTACCAACCAAAAAATAAATCTCAGGAACTCATTAAACTGTTCTGTTTGAGCAGGATCAGGAAGAAAATAATAAAAATGTAGTGGTTTTGTTTATTCCCTGAGTTTGCTTACATTGTTGAGGCAAGAAACAAGGTGTGTCAGACTGGCAAGAAAGGAGGAGTGAGCACAGGTTCACGCAGCCCATGTATGCTCTGAGGGCAAACCATTTTCATCTTCACTCTGGCAGAAGCACTTGGGAATGCAGCTTTCAAATGCCACATTAGGAACAGAGTCATCACCTTTGGAGGAGGGCCAAGCAGACTCATTCACTCTAACAGTTTTAAGACAACTCAATTTCAGCTTTTGACTTTTTTTTTTAATAATGTCTGAGATTATATTCATATTTCTCAGCTAAAACTGATACTACTTCTCTGACAGAGAGGGCTTCCGTTTTAAAATAATGTCTTTGGATTTGGATTTCATAAATATTTTTTATTTCTGAAATATGAGGCATTGTTTACTTTTTGCCTTAAACTCATCCACTGTTTGTGTAACGCTCATTTGCTCATCATTCTGGAGGAAAGATCAAAGCACTGAAACAGGTGTGGTGCTCTTAATACCGCTCAACTTGCGTGGTTTGACTGCAAATTGAACTGATTTTTTATTTCCTGCTCCACTCTTGGGAGCAGAGCCCACTGGAGTACATTGAGAAGAGCAGAAGCGTGTCAGGATGTGAGCAGGCTGCATTCCCCATCCCCATGGCAATCTGCACCAAGGAGAGCTAACAGAGGGGATGTGCCTTTCAGAACTTCCCATTTCTGAAGAGTCCATCGGGGCCACCGGAAAAAAAAAACACCAAAAAACCAGATGTGTAAAAAATTCTGTAATAATTGCTTGGTAATTTTCCAGCTCTGAATCTGACAGCGCAGTTTATTGACACAAGCACCAAGCATTTCTTCCTTCCCTTCTGCTGAACCAGCAGCCTGGCAGTCCTCCCAGTTTTTTTTTTGCTGGTCATATTAGAGTGAGAGGGAGGGAGGGAGGGAAGGATTAACAGCATTTCTGGAAACACACAGATTTGGTGACGTTCAGGGCTGGTGCATATGCATCTCTCCCACTTCAACTCCCATGCACATCCTGTACTGCCTGCTGCTGTTTTCAAAGTCTAATCCTAAAGTAACCATTTTTTTTCCAGAATACTACTGGTTAGTATTCTAGAAATGGAACAGGAGTTTATTTGGTGGCTTAATTACAGAGAAGTGAGTTGCAGTAGGGAACTTGATCTGCCTGGCAGACTGTTTAAGTGGCTATAGAATCATAGAATTGTAGAGGTTGGAAGGGACCTTTCAGATCATCAAGTCCTACCATCAACTTAACTCTGATAAAAACCATCACTAAGTCTCTAAGCATTATGTCAACTTGGCTTTTGAATACCTTCAGGGATGGTGCCTCAACCACTGCCCTGGGCAGAGAGAGCCAGAAGGTCTCCCCTCAGCCTCCTTTTCTCCAGGCTGAACACCCCCAGCTCCCTCAGCCGCTCCTCACCAGACTTGTGCTCCAGACCCCTCACCAGCTCCATTGCCCTTCTCTGGACTCACTCCAGCCCCTCAATCTCTTTTTTTTGTGGTAAATAGGGCTCAGTGTAACACCTATGTCTATCCAGTCCCCTGGAAGAAGAAAAAAATGCCAATACACAAACAATGCAGAATAAAAACACAGTTGGGTACAGTGGTATAACAGACGTGGTGCAGCCCCTCCTTTGAAGAAACCTAGTCCCGGACCCGCTCCAGCCCCTCAATCTCTTTTTTTGTGGTAAATAGGGTTCAGTGTAACACCTGTGTCTATCCAGTCCCTTGGAAGAAGAAAAAAATCCCAATACACAAACAATGCAGAATAAAAACTCAGTACTGTAAAGCTTAACCAGGTGCCAGTCAATAACCTGATCTCCACAGAGATGGGTACAGTGGTATAACAGACGCAGTGTAGCCCATGCTTCAAGGAAACCCAGCCCTACACACACAGAATGCTATTTCTTTTCCATTTTCCTTAGAAAGGTAAACGGCTTTTTTCTTCCACCCCTGTTTTTCTTTCATTTGGAGCTGCAGATACACAGCCAGTTCTCACTTTCTTTGGATGTTTATAGCCTGTTTGGTTTTGTTCTCTTGTACGTGCTGATGAGCTTACATACAATGCTTCATTTCCTGTGCTGTACCCCAGAGATAAACCAGAAGGGATAAATTAAGGATCAGGAAAGACCTAAGCATAAACTATGAAAGGAGACTTCTCCCCGATGACTCCATTACAAGATGATCACTGGTAACAAACAAGGTTTCCCAGATGGCACAAAGGACTGTCTCTGCAGCCACACTTCAAAATTTTACAACACTACAACGACACAGGCCAGAACAGGTTTCTTGTAAGAATTTCATTTTCTTTTGCTGAAGAGTTACTGGAACCTACGGAGCAGCTTGTGTAGTTGAAAGCCTACAAACCAAACAGGGGTGAAAAAAAAAAAAAAGGCATTTTTCCCCCAAAGGGAAAAAAAAAAAGGCATTACCTTTTGTTTCATCTTGTGTTTCGTTCTTGTTTTCACTTGTTCCCACAGTTGAGGGTTCACTTCCGTCACAGACCTGAGAAAGGAACAATAAATATCCGTGTCTATAAAATCCAAACACATGGTTGTAGAAACTCCTTTGACTCTGCAAAGCATTAAAACACACACTCCTGCAATTCAAGAGCACGTAGAAGCACCTCTGTGCTTAGTAGAAAATCTTTTGCCAAAGTCTAAGGGGATCTGAAATCCAGGTAATTAAAAAAGAAGTAATTAAGTCCATTCCCCCCTCTTCCTAAAAGGATAAGTGGGTAAAGGACTTAATTTTCCAGAGTTGCAAAGAATAAGAAAATGTATTCTTTGATCTGAAGCCATAGTTTGTGCTGGAAAGGATATAGAAAGGGGACCTGGAGGAGACTTTTTGACTTAACTCAGTCCGAATTTCCTTCTCTTGTAAAATCTTACAGGGTTGTCTCCCCCACAGAACAGCCCCGTCCCTTTGGTGGGGCAGTTGACACGAATATCTGTGCTTACAGCTTAGATTCCCAGCAGCAAAGCCAGGACACTTCCAAGAGACAAGAAAACAGGAAAGGATTTGAACCACCTTCTCCTTTCCACGATGCTGCAATACCCAGTCTCAAAATCTGTCACATTCCTTGAACTGGATGACACCTACTATAGAAAAGCACATTTCAGAACATCTAGAAAATTGATACCCATATATATATATGGATATATGGGTGTATATATATGGGTATAAGGGTACATACATGGGTATAATTTATGGGTAAAAACATATATGGGTATATTTATACCCCTATATATATATGGGTGTACCCACATATTATTTTTATTAACTTTTTGGCAACTCAGGTACACAATGAATGTTGCAGCACTCTGGGTTTTTAATTGTATCTTACTCAGACACTGTATAACTCCATACTTAAAAAAAATAATATATATAAAATCAAGTTTTAAAGATTTCTACTACCAACTCAAACCTGTGTTTTTACTTTTTTTTAAAAATCAGAGGTGGAAGAAGATAGCATGACTGCCCAGAAAATTACTACTGTTTCACAGAGGAGGAGAAGCAGATGAGGGAAGCTGTGAAGGTACCAGAAGTGTAGCTTCTCTTTGGGAATGTGGCAGGAAATCTAGTAGAAACATCAACACAATTGTTGCGCTGATGCGAAACATCGACGCTATTGTTTTACCTTTCCTCCTGCTTTCCTCCAGGTGAAGGGAGGTTACAGGATTTGGGGAGGCTATTATTAAACTGGAATGACTCCATCCAGCTGCAGATGGCTTCGGTCCTCTTTTGTTACATAAAAAGCTTTCAAAAAATGGGGAGAGTCACAAAGCACTGAGACAAGTCACCCAGAGAGGTTGCAGAAGTTAATTCACCACGGGCTTTCCATGAGAGATGAGATGAATAACCACCAGCAATGATTGCTGAATAATTACCTTGCTTTGGAGAGAGGCATGCAGCAGAGATTTGAGTGCCTACACTTGGGTTATTTCACTTCAGTCAAGGAGGTAGATTTAGAAGGATTATTTTTTTCCAGTTATTTCTATGTTTAATAAATATTCTAAAGTTCTGTTTTATACATCTTAAAGGGCTACAATCATGTGTCTGTTTGCGTTACTTCTCACTGATGTCATCAATATCAAAACATACAGTTTAAGAGACACAGAACTCTACTGAACACCATGACATAACGATTTTCAAACATTACAATCTGTAGCTTAAATACAGGAACATGAGTATTTCTTGAGCTTCACTGAAATAACATACTTGAAAGGGAAATTATAGTGCTTTAAGCCATATGGTATTTTACCTAAATTGCTCTGCTATTATATCTTGTAATTTTTAGGTGTACTCAATTCCAAATCAGATCCCTGAAGGCTTTTATGGAGTTAATAACCCTTCTGCAACCACATGCAAAGCAGAACAGTGAAAGGGAAGTTGCGCCTCCAGAAAATACATTTGAGCTTGCAAAACACCCCCCCCCCTACACACACACAATACATTTCATCTCTGCTGAGTTTGTAAGGACCTGCCAAAGGAGAGGAAGCTTTTGGGAGCAGGAGGAAGTTAAATCCCCTCAAAATTCTCCATGCTTTATGCCACCACACACAATTTAATGACATGCAAAGACCCTGGGAGGTAGTAGAGGGTCTAAGCTCCCACTGACAGGTATAAAGATGTGTCAAAATAGAGCAGGTTAGGTTGATGCCCCTTTATTTTCCTTTTCTTATTAAAAAAAGAAACAAGAGCACCGGTAACTAGGAGATACTGCCCCCCGTCTGGCAGAGCCCTCAGGATTGCTGAGGAACAAGAGGAAACAGCCTGAAGTTGCACCAGGGGAGGTTTAGATTGGATTTTAGGTAAAATTTCTACACTGAAAGGGTTGTGAAGCCTTGGCAGAAGCTGTCCAGGGCAGTGGTGGAGTCCCCATCCCTGGAGGGATTTAAAAGCTGGGCAGACGTGGTGCTGAGGGACATGGGTCAGTGATGGGTTTTGTCAGTGTTGGGGTGATGGTTGGACTCGATGATCTGAAAGGTCCCTTCCAACCTGGGCAATTCCACAATTCTATGATTCTACACATACTTCTTTCTATATACTAAAATTGTTTAGAATCATAGAATCATCTAGGTTGGAAGGGACCTTAAAGATCATCCAGTCCAACCATCGCCCTAACTCTGACAAAAAAATAAATAATGCAACGCCAAGTCTGGACCAACGCTATTCCCATAAACTCAGTGAAAAAATCCTTTGGAAATCAATGAAAAGTTAGACACAAACCTTCTGGAAACATGCCTTTTGTGTCTGTGCACCCTTCTCCTCTCTCCCCACCCCTACATGTCCCTCTCTTCTCTCTTCCAGGATCAAACAAAATAACGGACAGGAACTTACTTTTCCCTTTGAGTCGTTTTGTACCCTGAAGATATCTCTGACATCAGGAATCTGGTACTGCTTGTTTTTTTTCCTCATGGTTTGCGTGACAGTCTCTACTCGCTTTTCTACCGCCGCCTTCTGGGTTCGGGTCAGGGTGGAGAGAAAGACGGCGCTTTCCAGGGAGTCCCCAGAGCTCTCGCCAAACAGATTCGACAGACCTGCCTCCTTCAGCCATTCTTCTTCCAGTTCTCCCTCTGAGCAAGGCAAAGGGGAAAAAGGCTTTCAGGTACTGTTAAGCACACTGAATCTTAATAATAATGAATGATACCGTTAACGCAGTTCACAGGGAAAAAGTCCTAAGTGGATCCACAATTAAGGACTTACATTATCATGGCTTGGAAAGAAACTATTGTTTCTAAAGAGCTTCAAAAGGGGTTAACGTACGTTATCAACGCTTGTAAAATCCAACACAGATTGCTATGGGGCAATCTTTATTATAATCTACAGCACTTCTATTAAACCATATACCATTTTATAAATGTACCCAGACATAATGTGACTGGGGAAGTCTGAAAGCCTCTGATCGTTGATGCTTCATTGATTTTTAGTTCACTCCTCAATCTCTTCAGCTCCTTTACTGATATGGTTCTGCCCGCTTTTCTTGTTACATTAATCCTACAGTTCTGCAGTAGCTCAATTTAATGAAGGACAAACCAGGCTAGAAGAGTCACCTTAATGCTATTTTTAATCAGTTCTTATGGCATGGTCTCCAGGTTGCTGACAACCCACAAAACAATTGTTGCCTTAGTCCTATTGCTGATAAGGTCTCCTTTATTGACAGATCACTGCACATGAAAGAGGAGAAAGCTATTAAATAGTGCCAGCGATGGCAAAATTTCAGCTTCTGAAATCAGTATCTCCCTAATAATTTCTTCAAAAAATGAAGTTCTGTCCCTAGCAGCCGAGCTTGTGCTGCACACCAACAACCCCCTCAAGCCTTCAAGCATCACTTCCATTTATTATACACCTAAAAGTACTCCAAAGCACGTCGACTTCACTATTGTCTGTGGTTTCTCACAATGCCCAGTGCACATCCAAGTGGGCACCCCAATATTACCAGAAAACAGACACAAAATTCTAAGTATGAATTTAGCTACGGCTGCACAGCCAAACACTGAGCCTCTGAGAAAACTCTCTTGGATTTTGTTATTAGGGCTGGAAAGAAAGGCTACACCATTTCTCTGGTGTAGATGTGAGCAAGGTATGTCTTGTCTCTCCCCTGCCTTGCCTTTGCATGGCCACATGTCAAGCAATCCTCCTCCCAGGGAGGCCCACCAGCCAGGTGCAATGTCCCACACGGTCAGGAGCACCCATACCCAAGTGAGGTGCGAGGTGTGGGGCAGAGCAACATCTACTTGAGCTGATCAACTCAAATGAGCTGACTGGGTAGGGCTTCTTTCTCAGAGCTGCCTTCTCCGAAGCCACCTTCCTACCCTCTTCAGAGCACTTGTAAATAGTGGTGATGTTTCAAAATGCCCAGGGAGGAGGAAGTGCCTTTGAAAGCTGACGGAGCACGTCTTCTCACTGGTCAAGAGGCCACACCAAAATGCCAACCTCAGCATTTGAATTTACTGAGACTGTGGGCCTCTTGTAAGAATGGGAGAGAGGCGAGTACTGGACTGTTAAAAAATAATTTTTAAGGGAATAATAGAATGAAGGACATTACTCCTCTTTTGTCTGATAGGACAAGAAACATAAAGAATTGCCCAACTTTTTCTAAGATCATGCCCTCAGGAGTGGCCCATAATGGATGCTGCTGAGAAACACAAATAATACAACTGAACAGTCACAATAGTTACAAGTGTAGAAAGTTACTCACTAAACTTAAACCAGTTAATCATTGGCTTGTCTTCTAAAGCATGAGGTTTCTATCCACAATAGCTACAACAACGAACAACATACACAGAGAGTGAAAGGGTCACAATAGCTACAACAACGAACAACATACACACAAAGAGTGAAAGGGTAAGTTAGTGTAACAGCAAACTGCAAATAAAGCTTCAATTGTTGTGATTTGCAAGCACAGGCACCTTTCTCATGTTCTGCAAATACAACTTAAAGGAAAACCAGCCTTTTCCTTATCTCCGACAAAATTTTCTTTCAGGGCAATGACCGTTTCTGGTGATATGCATCAGAAGCAACAGGATTTTCAAAGAGGATGTTCAGCAAAGTGACCTCCTTGATTTAAGAGTGTTTGATGGGTGCCACCTCTTGAAATAAGACTTAAAGCAAAACCCCTAAATCAGCAAACCGATGATCATTCCCAAGAACAGATTTCATTACCGTCTGGCTCTTTCACTACAAGCGCTACTCGTTCCTCATGATTATTTCCTCTGGTTTCATGGATGTTTTCAAGTTCTTTCCAGTAGTCATCCATTGACAGTTCATCCAAGGAGTCCTGGGATCCTGAGCGGTCAAACGACGCTCCATCGGGGGGCTTCTTGGAATGGTCATGGTTCATTGTATACTGGCCAGACCGACGGCTACAAACACAAACCGAAAAGCAATTCCTGGTTAGCGTTTTAAGAATATATTCGTGCCTGTGAAGGCAGTTAGTGATGAATTGTGTCAAAGTATCAAAGAAAACTACTGTCAACAAGCAAACCAAGGTATTAAAAATTACTTTTAATACCTGGAATCTGTTTTTAATTTAACATTTCTAATATACATATCTCCCAATCCAGAACAGCACAGGAGTCTGTATTAATGAGGAAACAATGAATCCAAGTGATAGTAATCCTCTAATTCAACTCACAACAGTCAGTTCCACAAACTTCATGGTATACATCTTCCTAGCAACACCATTCATAAAGAATTTTTCAAAAGTGTTGTTCTGCCTGGGTAAATCCTTATAGCTTGAGAGTACTCAATTTTTTTTTCCTTTGCTACTCTGCTTTTATTTTTCATAAATGTTGAGGCTGGTATCTATGACCTTAATTACAGCTGGGAGAAGACAAAGATGAATTATTGAAGTTACAGTTTGTGAAGTAAATGGGTGAGTCTGAACGTTTAACAAAGGCCATTATTTGTTTCTGTCTTGCTTCCTCTTTGATTTGAGAGCTTACCACTTTTATAGCTTGATCTTTGATCTTAAGTATAGCTGCAGCCAAGAAACCCACAAGCTGAAACCTCTAGGTCCCCTCTTGACCTCACTATGTCAAAGGTAAAAATTACCTCTTACCTAGCACAGAATTCCTCTTAAAAAGTGCAAAGATTATAGTGATGTCATTGAAATTACAGGTCACTCCTACAGTCCCACACACCAAATCAAAAGCCACAAACCGATTCAAAGTACTAGAAAGATGACGTGGATTACATGAGCAGAAACCTGATCTAATGTCAGAGTTGGTCCTGCTTTGAGTGGGAGGCAGATAGGACAAGATCATCTCCAGTGGTCCTTTTTAAACAAAGCTACTCCACTATTACGACAGCATATCAAAATTCTTCCTTGTATTAAAAAATAGTAAGTTCTTCACATTTCGCGAACAGCTTCAAATGCCTTTTATGTCTGAATTTGACTCCGTATTCTAAAAACAGAGGCATGGTTTGGGGTTAAGTAATAAGTATCACTTATTCCGAGAGAAAAACATATCAAAGATCAAGCATTGTGGATTTATCGCAATGTAAATACACTAAATTAAGTCCTACCTTCCCGTTTGGCTGACTTTGCAAGTTTATCTAGAATTAAAACAAAAGCACCTCGTCCTTCCATTTTATCTTGGGACAACTAAGGCTTGTTAGCTGCCCCTAAAGCAAAAAGCCGTACCTTTCTCTCCGACGATAAGCCCCTTGTGTGTCCCAGACACAGATCCTTTCACACCATACGTGGTTGATTCTCCAATAAAAAACACTCACTACGTGGACTTTGCCTTTAAGGGTAAAGAGCCTTATGGAAGGACGATGAGTTTCCACCTGCCCTGCCTCTCTGCTCCAGGTACAAGTTAATAAATGACAAGGAATTACCGAGCTAATACTCACCCCAACACCATTCCTTAACCTCCCCTTACTTGAAAGCACAAGAATATATAATACAAAAATATATAGAAGGAAGTATTTAGTTTCTGCATCAATGGCAATAACAACATGGTGCTAATGGTGCACGTTACCCAATAAATACAATTTCTCCACGCGGCTACCTTGGTTCTTAAACTTCTCCTGACAGGCCTGTCCTGTGTGTGACCTGGGCTGCTCGTGACTCAGCACTAATCACTGCAGGAAGGTGTCTGTGGAGCTGCAGAAGCTCCAGAAGTGTCCCCAGCAGCCGACGTAGGTGCCCGGTGTGTGGCCGGAGCAGGTCGGGCCTCCCTCCTCCTGCAGCCCAAGGTGTCGGGGGCAGGCTGGGTCCCTGGGTCTGGCCCCACGGAGCTGCCCCCGGCGGCTCTTGGGTGGCCTTTCACCTTTGGAACAACCACCTCAGGTGAAGTTTAACCACCGCAGCACACCGTGCAGAAGATAAAACCAACAGGACGAGGAGGTTAAAATGGCGCACTGTGAGGGGATGTGGTGGGACATGCCATGGCAGGCCATGCATCTGCACCACGCTCCCAGGGGAGTGCTGCTCCTGTCCTCCTCAAAAACCCAGCTCGTTGCCTTCCACAAACTAAGTCCTCACAGAGAGGAGAAGTCCATGCCCTGAAATGCACAGATGATACTCAGAAAGGAAGATCTACTACAGGTTGGAATGACCGCGTCTCCCAGCAGCCGACGTAGGTGCCCGGTGTGTGGCCGGAGCAGGTCGGGCCTCCCTCCTCCTGCAGCCCAAGGTGTCGGGGGCAGGCTGGGTCCCTGGGTCTGGCCCCACGGAGCTGCCCCCGGCGGCTCTTGGGTGGCCTTTCACCTTTGGAACAACCACCTCAGGTGAAGTTTAACCACCGCAGCACACCGTGCAGAAGATAAAACCAACAGGACGAGGAGGTTAAAATGGCGCACTGTGAGGGGATGTGGTGGGACATGCCGTGGCAGGCCATGCGTCTGCACCACGCTCCCAGGGGAGTGCTGCTCCTGTCCTCCTCAAAAACCCAGCTTGTTGCCTTCCACAAACTAAGTCCTCTCAGAGAGGAGAAGTCCATGCCCTGAAATGCACAGCTGATACTCAGATAGGAAGATCTAATACAGGTTGGAAGAACCACGTCTTGGGCTGCATCCCCAGCAGCGTGGCCAGCAGGGCGAGGGGGGGATTCTGCCCCTCTGGATGAGGGGGAAGGGCTTTAAACTGAAAGAGCATCTGCCCCTTTGCTCCACTCTGGTGAGACCCCACCTGGAGTGCTGTGTCCAGCTCTGGAGTCCTCAGCACCCCCAACATGGACATGCTGTGAGGACAGGCTGAGAGAGTTGGGGGTGTTCAGCCTGGAGAAGGCTCCAGGGAGACCTTAGAGCCCCTTCCAGTCCCTCAAGGGGCTCCAGGAGAGATGGGGAGGGACTCTTGATCATGGAGTGGAGCCATAGGAGGAGGTGGAAGGGTTTTAAACTGCAAGAGGGGAGATTTAGATGAGATCTCAGGAAGAATTTCTTTGCTGTGAGGGTGGTGAGAGCCTGGCCCAGGTTGCCCCGAGAAGCTGTGGCTGCCCCATCCCTGGAGGGGTTCAAGACCAGGCTGGATGGGGCTTGGAGCAACCTGGTCTGGTGGGAGGTGTCCCTGCCTAGGGCAGGGGCTTGGAACTGGATGATCTTGAAGGTCCCTTCCAACCCAAACCATTCCATGATTCTGCATGAGAAACGCTCCATAAACTCTCAGAGACTGTGCCCTATCTTTCAGCCACTGCTCCCAGCCCTGCTCCTTCCAACCCAAACCATTCCATGATTCTACATGATAAACACTCCATAAACTCTCAGAGACTGTGCCCTTCCTTTCAGCCACTGCTCCCAGCCCTGCTCCGCTCCACCACACAGAAGCTGCTCTTCCTGTAAGGCTCTCCCTGGTCCGTCCATCTCCCATTAATAATCCGATGCGGCAGCTCCCAACTTCGAGCAGGCAGTCAGACCACTTCTCCTCACCAAAGCCCTCCCAGAAGGACATGAACAACCCTGCTCCACCACACAGAAGCTGCTCTTCCTGTAAGGCTCTCCCTGGCCTGTCCATCTCCCATCAATAATCCAATGCGGCAGCTCCCAACTTCGAGCAGGCAGTGAGGCCACTTCTCCTCACTAAAGCCCTCATGAAGGACATGAACAACTAGGGGAACCTTCCAGAAATATTCACACAGAAACCTCTCTGCTCTGCAGCCAATCTCTCCTTCAAAATGGGCCTTGGGCCTGTTCCCAGCTAGTCATCTCAGGAGCTGAGGCTCTGCCAGTGCCACATGGCTCCCCCTGCACTTGCCCATTCCTTGTCTTCCCTTGCCAGACTCCATCAACCTCTCCTGTACCCAGTTTCTGCTTGTGCACAAACAAGGACGACCCTTTTGAGGATAGCGAGGACAGTCTTGCTACCATAAGGCTGGTGTAGATGATCACAGCATAGGGCAAAATAGGTCACCAATTAAGATTTTTATTTTGAGGCACCTGTTGACAAGATCAAGAACGTGGGGTTTCTGCTGTGACCTTCCACTACATTCAATCCTTCTCCAAAAATATGCTTAGTCAGCACTAGTCACATATCACACAATAAAACACACAGGCAGGATCAAGTTAAGGCCAAGGAAAAAGGAGAGGAGAAGGGGAAAAGTGATCTGTCCTAGTAATAATACTTACTATAAAGAATCTGAAAGAGAGATACATTTTTTGAAAAAATTAATCCCACATTCCCAAAAGACTCAACAAAAAAACAATCTTACAAAAGTATTTCAAATACCTCATGTTGCAAGCTTTAAAATTTTGTAGAAGACTGCCTTCCAAAAATACTATCAGTACGAAATAAGCACAGTTCGTTACCAAAAAAAAAGGCTACTGCTGTGGTTGCAGAAAACAGGTTACTTCTCCAGCTCATTCTTAAGTTTTTAAGTGTTCAGTTTTTCTATGTAAAATTTGAAAAATGCAGCTGCTTTTCACAAGTACCTTCAAGGAGATCTCTTTTCTTCCCCCAGAAAGTGTAAGCTACTCCTCACACACACAGTCACTTGAAGCATTTTTCAAACACTAGCATTTTAGGTTATTAACCGGTAGGTTTAAGCTCCAGCAGTCTAGTTTTCCCCCACCAGAAAACTTGTATTTCCATTAAGGTCTTCACTAGCAACACTCTCAAAGTCTATTAAAATCTTATCAACAGCTATTTCCAATCATTAGTAAATAGTTTGCTCTTCAAATAGCTTTACAGTGCAACACTCTCATTTCCAAATTACACACTCAGTTCCAACTTCTGAGACTCTGACACGTGCCCTTTGCAGCTGAGGAGATCTATGCCTATTTATATCCACACAAAACTGAGCCCCTGGGTATAAAACCCACTCCTCAATACAGTTATTGCAGTCTCTTACCAGAGTTAATCTTCTTGTCCCACCCACCCGAGATGCATTTATTTATTAGAAGCATCAAGGATGTGGGACGAAGCACTCCAGCTTTTCCAGAGGGGAGCCATTAAAAACAATTCTTGTAATGAACACCATTCCTTGCAGTTACAAGGAAAGAAACCAGATTTAGGTTATTTCACTGAGCACTGAGGAGCTCCACGTTGTGGGAAGTACTTTAAGGAAGAGGAACTGTGCACTAATATTTCCTTCAGCCTTTCCTTTTGTGACCAACTGTGTCCTTTCTCAGCCTGCAAGAAAATATGACTCTTCACATTAATCACTGTTTTACACCATAATAAAAATGTGCTTTTTTTCAGGGTCTGTCAGCCTGATTTTTATTTTGTCAATAGTTACTTTACACTAGCCCAGGTGTCTCTATTCCTCACTTTTTTTCCTGCAAAATCTAAATCTCTGTCTTTTTCAGTGCCTTTTTAGCAGTTCATAGCTGATACTTGCCATGAGTAAACTACAGCAGCTAGAGATCAATCAGTTAATTAGTAAGGTGCACTTTAACTAAAATTTCAGATAAATTCAGTTCACAAAAAGCTAATTTTACCCTTGCTTCCATTTTTCTCACTCAAGAATTAGGGACTGTTGTGTTTTAAAACAGTGAGTGATGAGAAAAAGCATTCTTTGTCATGTAGGGGAGAACTTTGGTAGACTAGGGTTGATGGCTGGACTCGATGATCTCAAGGGTTTTTTCCAACCTGAATGATTCAATGATTCTATGATTTCTATAGTGCTAGACACTAACTTTGCCTCTGAATATGATCCTTCTACCTTGCTATACAAACATCGTAACTGTATGATATCCTTATATATTATATATAGGGGTATGCATGTATTAGATGCGCAAATACGCTGAAAAGCAGGAATACTAAATGCAAGGATTTCCATGGTCATAAAAATTAAGGAATATAAATACACTGCTGAAGCAAGCATAATAGATTAACACTGCTGAAGGAGAAGCAAAGTTCCTCTAACAGGATTATTGCAGGAGAGCTCAACAACTCCAGGAAAGGACAAAGTCCAGCTACTAAATACTACATGAACATAAAGCAAAAAGATACCAGTCTCTGTAATCTGTTATCGTCTTCCTGGGAAGATCCAACTATGGATGAGCAAAAAGATACCAGTCTCTGTAATCTGTTACCATCTTCCTGGGAAAAATCCAACTAGGGATGAGTGGGGAACACCTCTTCTGCCTATAAATTAGCAATTTCTGCACAAGGTCCTTTTTTTCCAGCCACTTTTGCCAAATTTTGGAATTCAAAATTCAGGCCTGGATCTTCCCTGAATAAAAGCTGTCACAACTACAAAAAGTGTCACAAGTAGAGGAAGGGAAGAGGCCATCCGATTCATTACTGGGTTTAACCTCAACTAGGATTCAACTCTTTGGGGTTAAACAAATCTGGTCCTTTTCCACAGGTGCCCAACAAAGTCTATGGGAGTCTTGAACATTGTCCTTAAACAGGTCCCAAATTGAAGGTTAATTCAATGTTCTAAGAGATTAGAAGTTTCACAAACATTTGTTTGTTTCAGCCCATTTCCAACACTGAGAACAGTACAAAAACCACATTCCATTATCAAGTGATATAATTACTTGTCAAACTGGACTATTACACCTCCTTAAGCTGTGCACTGAAAATACAATCCTCGTAGGCTTGGCCTTAAAAGCTTCTTTAAGTAATCCTGGCGTTAACCATTGCTACTGGGGTTTTCATGCAGGCGATGTCTTGAGCACTGCAGCCACTTCAGATACTCTCTCTGGCACCCCAATAACCCAGCACTTCCAGAGCTACATAAAATGACAACAAAATACCTGACTACAGCTTCATCACAGCAGTGGCTTCAGAAATGCCCATGAAAAGTCTTCATCACAGCAGTGGCTTCAGAAATGCCCGTGAAAAGGGAATCACAGAATGGTTTGGGTTGGAAGGGACCTTAAAAATCATCCAGTGGCACCCCCTGCCCTGGGCAGGGACACCTCCCACCAGACCAGGTTGCTCCAAGCCCCATCCAGCCTGGCCTTGAACCCCTCCAGGGAGGGGGCAGCCACAGCTTCTCTGGGCAACCTGGGCCAGGCTCTCCCCACCCTCACACCAAACAAGTTCTTCCCCACATCTCATCTCAATCTCCCCTCTTTCAGTTTCAACCCATTCCCCCTTGTCCTATCACTCCCCTCCCTGATCAAGAGTCCCTCCCCATCTCTCCTGGAGCCCCTTGAGGGACTGGAAGGGGCTGTAAGGTCCACTCTGGAGCCTTCTCTTCTCCAGGCTGAACCCCCCCAATTCTCTCAGCCTGTCCTCACAGCAGAGGGGCTCCAGCCCTCTGAGCACCTTCGTGGCCTCCCCTGGACCTGCTCCAACAGGTCAATGTCCATGTTGGGGGTACTGAGGACTCCAGAGCTGGACACAGCACTCCAGGTGGGGTCTCACCAGAGTGGAGCAAAGGGGCAGAAACCCACCCCCAGAGTCATCACTCCCCAAACCAGTCAGAGTGGAGCAAAGGGGCAGAATCCCACCCCCAGAGTCATCACTCCCAAAACCAGCGTGCGTTTGGCCATTTACATCAAAGCAATTAGTGATATTACTGCAGCCATACCTCAGCTGATGCTAGAGCTCACCAGTTCTGAGCATCACACCCACACAGGGTTAGATGTGTTAATTACCTGAGAAACAAGATAGACAAAGTCTTGGGGGGGTGGTACTTGGCCCAGGGAGGTGAAGCACGCTGTTCAAATTCATGGTGCAAATCAGTGACCAGAAATCGGAATAATTCTCAGCTCTCTGGAGTCTTTCACCACCGGACCACTGAGCGTTAAAGATTGCCATCTCACCCCCTGCCAGCTGCAAGGCAGATAAAAGGAAGCTGTGCTGCTGTGCCTTTGTGATAAACCCCAGCACTGTGGCTATCAACACAGTAGCACCCTCAAAGCAGAATTATCATGTTGACATAGGAGTTACAAAGTTAAGCAGTAATTCACCTAAGCAATTTTAAGTTTTTACAAAGGCTAACTTGATTTAAACAACAGGAAAAAAAAAATGCCTAGGGGTACTGTGGCCCATCTGGAAAACTGTTTACTGAGCAATCGCATCCCTGAGATGCTGTGCTCTTAGATATAAATTCAGGGCTTCCCCAAGTCCTCTCAAATCTAAACAACTCACAAGATAAGGAGAGGGAAACAATGTGGTCTCCTGGCCCGGTTCTCATCCTGGAGGCTTAGCTACAGAAGTGTGGGAATAAATAAAGCTCCTAAGCCCAAAGCTCCCCCCTCCCATTCCTCCCCTCCTTTCAAAAAGCCAAGTAGCACCACAAGGCGCAAAGACTTCTTAACTGAATTAACCAAGAAAGCTCTAATCTAATGGCTGCAGCAGCTGCCTGCCTTCAGCTCCCTGCTCTTGGCTGGGACACTGGCCTGGGCTTGTATTTTCTACTTTTTTCAAGCTCCTAAATCTTGTCACAGAATCACAGAATGCTATGGGGTTGGAAGGGACCTCTGGAGATCATCCAGTCCAACCCCCTGACAGAGCAGGTCCACCCAGAGCAGGTCCCACAGGAACGTGTCCAGGTGGGTTTGGAATGTCTCCAGAGATGGAGACTCCACCACCTCCCTGGGCAGCCTCTTCCAGGG